TTTGCTATATATTTTTTGAATTTTATGGATATATATTATGACTATATGTTTAAATGTAAGTTTATATTGATTTTGGAACTCAATCATTTTGGACTTTTTGTATTAGCATTTTAGAATCTTTTGTTTTAATAATGTTTTTTTTGTTTGTTTAGGTAAAATTACCAAAGTTACTCCCAAATTAAATTTGATATCATTTTTTAATTAGGCCATTACTCAGTGGTAAAATTTTTCTTTTAGTAAATTTATATTGAATTTTAATATTTTGGGTTTATTTTGCTATTTTACCTTGTTTTTTATAAATTATGGCTAAAAACTCAATTTTTCGGATAATCCAGTGATCCGATCCGAAAAATTGGATATCCGAATTTCGGATATCCGAATATTTTCGGATCGGATATGGATTGAGTTTTACATGATCCGAAATTTTCGGATATCCGAATTTTCGGATCGGATCGGATCGGATCGATCCGATTGAACACCCCTACTTACCGTAGTGCTCTCAAGGATCCAAACTGGCATGCTGCTATGTGTGATGAATATAATCCTTTGATCAAGAATGATAAATGGGAATTAGTACCCCCCCCTCCCCCACACAAAATATCATCACCGGTAAATGGCTCTTCAGACACAAACTTGGCCCTTCAGGTGAGTTAACGAGGTATAAGGCCTGATGGGTTGTTCGTGGCTTCAATCAGTGTTTTGGCGTCGACTACGGTGAAACGTTCAGCCCCGTTATTAAGCCTGCCACCGTCTGCGTCGTCCTTAGTCTCGCTCTGTCTCGCGGTTGGACCATTCATCAGCTAGATGTCAAAAATGCTTTCCTCCATGGCCAGCTTCAGGAAACTGTGTATGCCAGTCAGCCGTCTGGTTTCCAGGATGCCAAACGCCCTCATCATGTCTGTAAGCTCAAAAAGGCCTTGTACGGCCTCAAGCAGGCCCCTCGCTCATGGTATCATAGGTTTGCAGGCTTCATTCAGGCTATTGGGTTTCAAGGGTGCAAGTCTGACACGTCCCTCTTCACTTTTTCTCATGCCACGGGCACGGCCTATCTCTTACTTTATGTCGACGACATCGTCCTCACTGCCTCTTCACCTGCACTCCTTCAGAGCATCATTCGGAAACTCAAGGCTGAGTTTGCCATGACAGACATGGGCGACTTACATTTCTTCCTCGGCATCAACGTCCATCGCACCTCCACTGGGATGTTCCTCCATCAGACTCAGTTTACCCATGACATCCTTGAGCGGGCTGGGATGGTCTCCTGTCGTCCTATCTCTACGCCAGTGGACACAAAGGCAAAATTATCATCCTCAGCTGGGACGGCCCTTCCAGATCCGACGTTGTACAGGTCCATTGTTGGAGCTCTGCAGTATCTCACTTTTACTCGACCTGACATCACTTACGCCGTCCAGCAGCTTTGCCTTCACCTCCACGCACCTAGGGACGTGCATCTCACGGCTATGAAGCGGATCCTCCGCTACCTACAGGGCACGGCCACCCATGGCATTCATTTGACACGGTCCTCTACAGACTCTTTGCAAGCATACTCTGATGCAGACTAGGCTGGATGTCCTGACACTAGACGCTCCACTTCTGGTTACTGCGTCTTCCTAGGCGATAAATTGGTCTCCTGGTCATCCAAGCGTCAGGCCACTACTTCCCGATCCAGTGCCGAGGCCGAGTACCGGGCTGTTGCGAATGCCGTAGCTGAGACATCCTGGATCCGCAACCTCCTCCTTGAGCTACGGCAGCCACTCCAACGTGCTACCCTTGTTTTCTGTGATAATATCAGCGCCGTCTACCTATCGTCAAATCCGGTACAGCACCAGCGGACCAAGCATGTAGAGGTCGACATACACTTTGTTCGGGATAAAGTAGCCCTTGGGCAGGTTCGTGTCCTTCATGTGCCCTCTTCTTCCCAGTATGCAGACATCTTCACCAAAGGCCTACCATCTCTGCTCTTCCTCGAGTTCAAATCCAGCCTAGGCGTCCGACCTCCTCCACATCCGACGTAGCCGGGAGCATGCTAAATAAATTAATTATATTTATTATTCTTGTAATTGTTGTGTTACCACACTTGTATAGGTTTCCTAAATATGGCTCTCCTACTATTGATTAGGATTGAAGCCTCTACTATATATTGATGTATTCTCTACACAATTATTCAATGAAAATATTCTTTCTACACAAAATTTATCATTTTGTTCAAGACATTATTGTTCTTTATTTTTCACTCGGTAGTTACCAATATACACTTAATAATTTATAGTCTTCATTTAAAATGCCATGTACTCCGTATTGTGCATAGTTGATAGCCTGAAGTATTGATATAAAATTGAGCAATTTCTAGAACAAAGGTGTAAATTAATTAATTTCAGAATATTAACATAAAATCACAAATTTTTTGAAGTATCCGCGTGAATTTTTTCTATATCTAAAGTTAACCTCATTAACTTCAACGAACAAATCTTACTATAATCAAATAACTTTTATAATGTACGTAGTATGAATCATAAATACTTTAAAAATTCATGTTGTCTATAAAAATCAAATAATAATTACTATAATCTCTATCCCAATTTGATTTGTCTGTTTACTATTTATATGGTTATATGGTCAGATTTTAATCAAATGTTTACCTATTTCTGGTATAGAATTTTGATATAGTTTTAAAATATGAAAATTTTATTTTTTTAATTTTTTACCAATTTTAAAATAAATTGAATAAAAAACAACTTAAATCAAATCTCGTAAACAACGGACGCTTTTTTTTGTAGAGGGAGTGATTATAATTTAATATGCTCTCATATAAATATTTTTCCTCGACTTCTTTCTCATTTCAGTCAATAAAATACTCCCTCCGTCCTTTAAAAATTTTCAGGCTTTGACTTTTTTTATGTTTTATGAGGAGTTTATTATCGGCTTTGACCTTCCCATTTTGCCCTTAGGAGTTTTTTAAAAATGTGATTTTTTAAATCAATGAATAGTGATTAATAGAATAAAAAAGTAAGTAAAAAGTTTAATGTGATGGATGAGATATGGAAAAGTAGGGTTACGTTAAAGATAAGTATTTGTATCCATTTTTGACATTTTGAAATGTTTTTTAGGATATGTAAGAATGAAAATTGAAAAATTGAAATATTTTAAGGGACAAAGGGAGTATGAGTTTGAAATATGAGTAAATAAAAATACATCATTGATCTAGTTTACCTTGTCTAACCGATAGAAACTTGACCCAATTACTTCTTCAATTTGATGTCTAGTGCTCTCTTCAAAACATTACGTCAAACATTAAGTCAAACATTTTTCTCCCTTGTCTTGCTAGTAGACATGAAAGATCTAACCGACTCGCTATGTTTTTACTCAAAATCTGATACGAAAACACTGTTTTGAACATTTATTAAACGCACCTGAACCCGACCTGACCGACTCGCTAATATAAGAATTTTTCAAAATCATCTACCTTATTATGAAATACGAGTATAACGCTATAAAAATAAAGTTATTGTTATATTTTATTTCTTACTGCTCGTTTTTAATGTATAAATTTATATTTTCGGAAAAAAACATTAATGATGTTGCATAATTATTTGCTTTATTCAAATATTATGCAATTTTTAATTGTTTATCACGTTCTACAAAACATTCTCTTTCATTTTTTTCACTACTAAAATACTTCTACTTTCTATTAAAAATCATTTTTACCTCTATTTTTTTTACCATACTATCACATCATAATTTTTTTCTAATAATCTATCCATCTTATATTACTTTTATCCATCACATCAAAAACAAAATGAGGAGTACAATTTAACACTTCCTTATTTGATCAATTGGTCAAAAATGGAATTGTTTTCAAGAACAGAGGGAGTACATACTTAAAATTTACTTCAAAATTTAAAATAAAATAATATAATAGATTTAATAAAAAAATTTGATAATTTAACTTTATTAAATGCAAAATGCAGGTTTTAATACTAATTTAAAAACTTTAAAAACTAAAATCATAATTCAATCTCGAATCCTACCTGATTGACCAATCTAGCCATGTTGTGACTCAGACGGTGTCATGACTCGTTAGTTGCTAGAGGCTACTCCCCCAATAGTTAATGCGTATGTAAATTAATGGACTTTTTTCTCTTGAAAAAAATTGAACTATATTGTGAAGTATAGTCCCTTCGTCTGGAAAAAAAGTTATTCTTCGACTTTCAAAAAGTATAAGAGAAGTATTGAATAGTTAAGGAAAAATTGATATATATACTTTCAGAAATTCGAAATTTTACAATAATACTCCCAAATTTAATAAAAGACTTTGGTGTTCCCAATTAAACTATAAGTTTACATTACTACTCCCATTATGCTTAATCAGCTTTTCTTATGCTTACATGTGAGTAATTATGCTTAGTAGACACCTTAGTTGTTTTTTTGTTTTAATAAGAGGAAAAAATTATATAAATACTCTCTGAAATTCAAAATTTTACAATAATACTTTCAAAACCAAATAAAGACTCCAGTACTTTAAAAAATATTTGCTTTTACGTGTCACGATATTTAATAAAAGTGGTGTGAAATCAAAAATTAAAATTATATATCTAAAAACTACATCATAAGATCTATAAAACTAGTAATGATAAAATTATATTATTTTATCAAATATACATTTAAAATAGGTAAGCAAAGTAAATAAAATTTGATCTTGTTAAATTAATTTTTGGGACAGAGAGGGTTTTTGTATTAAAATATAAAAAATAACTAAAATGCCAATTAAGCTCAAATAATTGATCTTTAATATTACTAAAACATTATTTTTACATATTACTATATTAGTTTTTTAATATGTAATTTTTATTTTTTAATTTCACACCATTTTTCATATAAAATACTTTAAAATAATTTCAGTCAAATATAGTAACGTGCAACGAGAATATACTTTTGGGAGAACTGGAGTCTTTATTTGATTTTGGGAGTATTATTGTAAAATTTTGAATATCTATGAGTATCTATATAAATTTTTCCTCTTATGAAAACAAAAAAATAACTAGATGCCAACTTAGCTTAATTAATTACATGTAAGCGTAAGAAAAGCTGATTAGGCTAAATGGGAGTAGTAACATAAACCTATACTTTAATTGGGAGCACTAGAGTCTTTAATTAATTTTGGGAGTATTATTGTAAAATTTCGAATTTCTGGGAGTATTTATATCAATTTTTCCAATAGTTAAAAAGGTGTAGTTAGGATTTGATGAGAAATTTTTTTTACCCACATGTGATTTTCCTTGTAAGTACTTGTAAAAATAAATACTCCTCCCGTTCCAAAGTATATCTCACATTTGTTTTTCAGTAATCGTGAGAAATTTTATTTATTTCTACGTTTTCATTAGTTATTTGATAAAATAAAATATTCTTGATACTTTTCATGTAGTTTTTTGGTATGTAAATTTTATTTTTTTTATTTCTATACTAATATGTAAATAAAATGAATTGAGAAAACTTGATATTTTACCTCGGTAATAAAAGTGTGACAAATATTTAGGGACGGAGGGAGTAAATAAAATAAAAGACTGCTCTCTCCAACTTACTACTTAATTTTATTAGAATCAGATAAGAAACACAGTTTAAATAGAATTAAAAATGAGAATTGAACCGAATCAAATGAGAGGAGTAATTAGAAAAGTCGAGGAAAACAAGTCCTAGGTGTGGAGGGCTCCAACTAATTCTTCTTCTTCTTCTTCTTCTTCTTCTTCTTGGGTGCAACATAATAAATCATTCAGTTGAAACAAATTTTGGGAGCGCATGCGATACTCAGACAGCCCTGCAGCATTCATGCCCCTCGAATATTCAATCATATACACATACATCTCAAACATCACAAAGTCTCTATACCTTTTGAGCCATGGTGTTAAACTAACAAATCTCAGCATGCACTCGAATCCTCTTACCAATTTACCCTCTTCCTGGTAATGGCAAGCAAGTATCAACCAAATCCCTCTTACCCAAGGCTTTTTTTCCCTTGTCCAAGCTTCGGTCATTCCCTCTGCTTCCACAAAGCGATTCTTCTTGCAGTATCCGTCGATGATCAGCTTGGAAAAGTTCAAACAACCATGGAGATGGAGACTACTGGTCATGTTGCCAGAAGATGCTTCCCACTCCATTGCCATCTTCCTAGCCTCATCAAACTCCCCAGACTCCACTAGTGATTTTATTACACCCTCATAATAATCCATATTTTTTACTGCTTCTTCTTCTGCTGCTGCTGCTGCTGCTGCTTGGGTGGTGGGGGGGTGTACCAGTACAGCAGCTGTGAGTGTGTATTTCGCGTTGATTGGAACGAGTTCAAAGAATGTTTTGCCTCCAGCAGTTCTGAGTGATGACACCGCGCAGCAGCACAATGACCTTCCACTGCTGGAGGGGCATAATGGGAAAAATGATCCACACTCTTCTTCCAGGTATTGGACAAACGACCTCTGAAGCACTAGAGGTCCATACACAATCGCACCCTTTCCCTGAAAGCCTGAATATGCATCAAAGAGATCGCCCGCTTTAAGCAATCCGTTGCAGAGTAAAAGTGAAAGTCTGTCGATGCCGGCCCTCCCCTTCCTTTCCCACTCCCAAATCATTCTGTAAGCTGCCCTTAGTGAAGATTCAGAACCATTTTTTATGTACTCCTCAATGATTGTGCAAGGAATACTGATATCACCCACAGTGCACCAATTACCCAGCGATTCCCACTCCGTAGCAAACCTCATAGCCTCACCAAACTCGCCAAGCTTCACCAGAGACTTTATCACATTCTCATAATCACTATTTATCAAATTGTGGCTTCGATCATCATCATCATCATCATCATCACCACCACCACCATCATCATCATTCTTATTCTTATTCTTATTCTTATTCTTATTCTTTTGTAATATCACCCTAGCCTTTTCAAGAGCATCGGTGGCCTTATCTACAAGGAATTCTCTATCATAGAAGTCGGCTACCACGGCGTAAGTACACCAGTCCATGACAATGTGGGGCTGACTCTCCATTTCTCTCAGCATTCTCTCCATCCCATCCACATCATAGTTTAACCCAAATGAACTAATGCAGATTCTGTAACTATCATTATCGGGTGAAACCCCGCTCTTCTTCATCTCGGCTAACACCTCAAGGACCTTCTCAACTTGGAGACTTTTGGCATAAAGGTGCATGATTTCATTGAATGGGCGAGGTGACGACAGAAAACCCAACTCTTTCATCTTCTGAAAATGAAATAAAGCCTTTCCCCTTCTGTCTTTATGCACATAACAATGAAGAAGTTCTCCATATGTCATGTCATTCCTAGCTTGTTCTGGCAAGTTCCAGGCATAGCGCTCCGCGGCAGTCAATCCCTGAACGCTACCAATCAACTTGATCTGGAAAGCATGGTCCTTAGGTGAGAACTCATAAATACCCCTCTCCCCCATCCATTCAAAAATCTGCAGCAAGTACAACATTATAATCCAAGCAAAACCCTATCAGGGTGTATCTCAAATATTTCCATTGAATCAGAAACTATGATTTCAACTAAAAATCATTCCATCAACTTTGATAAAAGAACCAATAATTCAGTTTGACCATCACTTGACTAGTTAGAAACACTCGATTTAGCTAGCACTATATTCAAACCTTCACACCAAAGGTAACATGCAATAAAATACTAGTCTTGTTTCATTTGGCACAGAGTGAAAAGAATGATGATGTCTGATTGCCCTGAATTCCCTTACTGGGTAGGGACTTAAAAGCTTTGAAACAAAAGAATTCAAGATGCTCACTATAAATTGAAATTGTAGTCGAACTCTGAAGTAAAGACGATTCTAACTACTCTCTAATAAATTAAACACTACAGTAGTTTCTCGTGACAAAAATTAATACAGAACAATTTGTGACAATTAAAAAAAATACATAACAATTTGTGACAATTTTACATTTGCAAAAAGCTTTCAATGTTTGACACAAGAACACTAACTTTATAATAGAAAGTCATGTCTTTCCTTGATTCTAACAAATATTACACGACCGCGTCCTAAAGAGAAATTGGTAGTTCAGGCTTTTATTCGCTGCCACAGGATACATGTGTAGTGCTCACTTCAAAATGGCATCCATACTTTGATTTCTTTTTCTGCTTCCTCCTTGCATATCTTTAATCAACTGACATTGTCGATTTTATACTTCTTTTTAATCAACCTACATTTTCGCCTGATGGTGGAGTCACTTGGTGCTAAGACTGAATTTTAGTGTGTGTGTGTGTGTGTGTTGATGTTGTATTGATGGTGGAGTCACTGAATTTTCCAAAGGCATGTCTTCTCTTTAATTATTATTGATGATGTATATTTTTATGAATGTCATAATATCCCACAATTTCAGAATCAATATTTGTCGGCATCACCAAGGGAGAGGGCTTGCGTTGGGGGGTGTGCAGGAGAGTGTTAGAGGTCATAACTGTCAATTTCGTGATTGGAACACCGAAGAAGCACCAAATTAATTGGTGTCAGAATCTTACACCAAAAAATTGGTGTAAAACCCCCCTCTCATTACTGTATTATGAATGTGATTTGTGTTATTTCTTGGAATATGATCTTAAATTAATATAAAACTTTTCTTAACAGGTTTTATAGGAGTATCTCTTTACATGTAATGACCAATGTACCAAGTATATATTTACCTATATACTTCTTTTGTCCCAATGTATTTGTCAAATTTGATATTTTGATTTTCTATATTTAGTCTCCAATTCTAAGATACTACATAAATGCTCCTCAATTTTGAAAATTATTCCATGAATAGTCGGTTAGGCCAAATATGTCAAAATATTTTTCCACATTTAGTCTATGAAAGACCAATTGTGGAATAGCTTTCAATAATTAAGAGTCATTTATGTAAATATCTTAGAATTAAGGACTAAATAACGAAAATCACATGTACTAAGGCACCTTTTGTAGAATTTACTCTAACATAATACGGAGTATTAATAATGATAATACGTACAATAATCATACAATAATCAGATCTATGCAAATCAGATTAAAAGGATTTGGATCAGGTAAGAACAAACAAAGAGAACGTCACCTAAATCTTGTTACCAAAAAAATGCCAATGTATTTGTAGCTAATAATTAATACTCCATTCGTACAAAAAAACTTTGCTTGTTTAAATATCAAAGAATATAATAAAAATGTTGAAAGTGAAAAATTACAAGCCACGTGTTCATTATAAAAAAAGTAAGATGGATGTCTAAAAAGATTTTTGATTAAAGTTTTTTTGGGACTGAGGAATGAAGTATTTTATCCAACAATCTATGACTAAAAAGGTGGAAACAGTACTTGTACTATGTACTCCTTCCACCCCAAAATAAACTTTCATTTTACTATTCACAAGGTCAAACTGTGAACCAAAACCAATTATATTCAGCTTATTCTTAGTATTTACTATCCTCGTCTCAGAGTTTTCGTCTCGTTTGACTTTTTCAAGTTAAACTCGACATATTTATCATTAATTAAATAAACCATATTGTAAATTAGCACAAAAAATGATTTTATTAGATATATCTTACGGAAAACTATCTAAAATTTATTTGATTATATTACTACGTAATATGTCAGACATATTTAATTTAATTGGTGTTTAAAGTTTGTCCACTTTGACTCAAAAAGGTCAAACTTGGCGAATACTCTAGGACAAAAGAAGTAATACTTGTTCTTATTGGAATCACACCAAACCAAGCCAAGTCATATCACGAACATTAAATTACACTGCAAACAGGCCATACCAGCTCAGTTCTTAACAAGTTCAAATCAGAACCAATTAGATCACACAAAGTGAGCATGTTCTACCCTTTATTCACTTTCATTACCAATTTTCATGTATAATTTGATGAATAAAACTGTCTTGACACTACTCGTTCTGTAAAACTTTTGAACTCGTTTTTGAATATAAAAGTTTTGTTTTAAAATTCACACACAAATATTCATATCAAGTGAATACGTAGTAAAAAATAACGTCAAATATCATAATCTATAAAGAAAAGTTTATTTGGGGATGAAGATAGTGCATTTTAACCATTTTTAAGTGAAATGGCAAAATGAGGTACCACGAAAAGCCAAAAGTTTCTTGTGGTCTAATGGAACTATAAAGCACCATCAAAATTGAATATTATGATTATATGAAATAGGGAAGAAACTACCTTTAGAGCTAAAGAGAACCGCCCGTCATTACGAAGTCTGTTCAGGATCCTCATGAGGTTGCCCGCCGAAATCTCTTTCTTATGATATTTAACAACAAAGTTGAGGCTAGACTTGATGTCATACCCCATTTCCTCGTCAAATTTACATGGAATAATCTGCGACCACAAGCTCCCCGTCCGTCCCTTTCATAAAATGAGAAGGTACAACATTAAGTTTATGGCAACAACAATGACCCAAAATGATCCCACGAAAGTAGGGTCTCAGAGGGTTGTATATGGCAGTGTGCAGACCTTACGCGTAATTGGAAGTGTAGAGCTTGTTTCCAATACACCCCCTCCCCCAATCTCGAGCAATCACAGAAGCACATAGCAACAACAAAGAGCAAAGGACAAACTAAAATCTAACGGTAAGAAAAGCACAAAGAAACAAAAGGTACCCACACTGCCTGAGCAAAATAAAGCTTAAGCCTGAAAAATACACACAACGGCAAAATCACAACTATAACCCACGTCAAAACAATTACCAAACAAACTTTGTCCTAGATCTCCAACCGTTCCTCTCTAAGGTCATATTCCCACTAAGAGCAATGAGTCCCAAGTCATGTTTAATCACCTCCTAATTTATTCAATTTTTCTTAGGTCTGCATGGATTTATAAAAATGTTCCATCTTATTCCAATAATATATGAGCAAAATAAGGTTCAAGCCTTAAAAACACACGACAAAGTAGAACTATAACCAACGTCAAAACGATTACCCAACTAACTAGTACTAGATCTCCAGTTGTTCCTCTCTAAGGTCAGTTGTTCCTCTCAAAGGCCATATTCTCGGGAAGAGCAAGAAGTCCTAGGTCATGTCTAATCACCTCCTAATTTATTTAATTATTCTTGGGTCTGCATGGATTAAAAACATGTTCCATCTTACTCCGATAATACACACATACACACACATATATGAGTAAATTTCCAAAATGGTATTCAATAATTATGTACTTTCCCAAATTAGTCCCCTAGATAAAAATTAAAATAATCATCGAGATGGTACTCATTAATTGAGAATACAACAACAACAACGACAACATTACCTCAGTGCCTCAACTGCTCCCGCTCATTGCGGGGAAGGGGGTCGGATGTACATAGGCTAACCCCTATGTTTAAAACATATAGCGATTGTTTCCAGATGACCCATGATGAGCATCAAAAATTGCATTGACTAACTGCTACTTCACAATTGCAAGAAGCGCGCGCACAGTTTAGAGAGTCAATTTGCTTTATTCCATCATAACCCAAAGCCAAATCTTTGGCTCCACACCTAACTAACGGCCTTCAGAATAGCATTAAAATTTATACTAATTTTCAAAGAAGGCCAATTTAAATTAGGTCTTTTCTCAAATTGGTCCATTTTTTAAATAAAACTAATTAAATATGGAAAAATAATTTTTAAATTTAATAAGATGAGAATATAATAAATAAACCTATAAATATACTTTTATAAATTTGAAAGTAAACGTTTCATAATGTTAACAATTATTTAGAACAATATCATGAAAAAAAACATTTCATATGATTTAAATAACCTCTCATCCTTTACGATGAAACTGTAAAGGGAGCCCCTTTTCTCATCCCTTACAATTTTTGAAAATAACTTCAGTCAAACATCATAAACGAAAGCAAAAGTCTTATTTCAGAACGAATGGACTTGTTTATTAAATACTTATTTAGTGATATTCTTCTAGGGCTCCGTTCCATTCAACTTAATTTTTATGATTTGATCTGATTTTTTGTAGTTCTGATCTGATTGGATGATCTAGTTTGGTCTGATCTGATTAATTATGATTTGATTTCACTTTATAATAACGTTTGAAAATTGTAATGATAGTTCGGAATATAATATAATCAATATTTTTTATTTTATGATTATTTTTTAATAAAATAAAATTAGTTAATTCATATATTAGAATAATCATTCATATTATAATGTAATACTATTTTTTATTTTATGATTATTTTTTAATAAAATAAAATTAGTTAATTCATATATTAGAATAATCATTCATATTATAATGTAATACTATTTTTTATTTTATGATTATTTTTTTGTGAAATTAGAATATTCATCTAATAATTTAATAATTACTTCATATATACATTAGAATAAATATTTAATTTATATATACATTAAAAAAATAATTAAATTTAGATAATAAATACATAAAAAAGATAGTATTTTTATTAAAATATCGCATCCTTATAAAAGATCAAAACTTTAGAAACTCAAATTACATGTAGCAATAAAAAAGTATTTTAAAAGTATAATTACATTGACATTGTCAATGTATTTTAAAAAAATTCTGACGTCTAATAATTAAGGATTACTTTCTCATTTTTCTATTTTACTTGTTTCTAAAGTTTATTATTTTTCATTTTTAAGAATAATAATAATAACAATAATAAAAATAATAATAATAGTTTTTGATGGGATCTGATCTGATCTGGTCTGATCAGATTAGATCTGATCTGATTGGATATGATCTGATTGGATATGATCTGATATGATCGCTCTAATCTAATTTTAACAAGAATAAGAAAAAATAAGTTGAATGGAACAGGGCTTAAATAATTTTAAACAATCTGAAATGTGTATGATTAATGGATTAAAATCTTAAAATTAATTTTCCATATTTAATGAGTGTTTTTATTTCGAAAATGGACTAATTTGGATAACACACCCAATTGGAAAGAAACATTTTGAAAATTTAGTATACATTTTAATGCCATTTTGAGACCATTTTGATGGTCGTTAGATAGGAGACTAAATTGAGCATTTTTCTGAATTAACGAGTATCATCTCAATAATAGTTCATCTTGGAGACTAATTTGAAAAAACACAAGATATTAAGTATCACTTTAAAAAATTACTACTACCTCCGTCCCAGAGTATTCGTCAACTTTGCCTTTTTCGAGTCAAATTGGACGAACTTTGAGCCTTCATTAAATAAAAATTGTTATGGATATTAGTATAAAATGATTTCAATATATTTAACTTGTTTAGATCTTTCAAAAATTTATTCAATTGTATTAATATGCAATACAAATTGAGAGTAATTGATGATCAAAGTATGTGAAAAACTAATTTGTACTACATCCACAAAAAACCATTTTTCTTTTTTTATGTGGATGTTTCAATGTAAATGTCACAGTTAATTTTTTTTATTAAAAAAAGAGTAGTTTTCTTTAAATCTTCCTACTTTGCATTAACCTTCTGCATACAATTTCACTTTTAAAATTTTTCTAAAAGTCAAACAAGGACATTTATTTCAAACACAGAGTTCCCTTTGCCCAAAAAAACCTTACGCCATTACTTGTTTCACTATCACCAAATTTAATACTCCTAATGTCCCATTATTTTTTTATGCTTTCATTTTACGTCTAACTTAAGAAACTTCACAACGAGAAAAAGAACATATGACTCAAAATTTCTTTTATATTATCGAATTCCAATTGCACATTTTTTATTTTTAACACTTATTGAAAAAGAATATATTACACTTTTCACTCATTAGAGTGAAACGAATCGTTACACTCTAGCCACTTCGTATCTTATCTTCACTGTGAGAATAAGTGACTATGCCCTGCCATGAGGGGTCATTCTTTTAGGTTGGGTGACAAATCGGCCATAGGAGTACTCCAGGTTATAAACCAATGCAACAAAAGTGGAGTATACAACGATGTCGCCTGTTTTCATTTCATGGAAGTCCCTAGCAGAGGAAAGGGTTGTAGGTGATGGAGATGTACGAAACGAGTTTCACTATGTGAAATATAGTCAAGTCTTTCATTGAAATGAGGTGCCCCTATACGAACGTTGTGCGTTAGTGAAGCTAATAGTTTGGATGCGCATATGTTTTCTTGTTGAGTCACAGGCAACGCCAAGGTACAAAGTGGCTAGAGTGTAACGATTCGTTGATTTCACATAGTTCAACTCATTTCATTTCACATAATGAAACTAATTCCTCCGCCCCTCGATCAACTTCATACCGCTTCCAGGAACGAGGTGTAAAAGTCAAATCAAGGGGGCATACGGAGTAAACTAATTCGTGTTGATATTTGGTCAAATTGAGACCAACTTCGTACCTTTTAATTTTAAAAAACTTTGTGTAGATATTTGGTCCAATTGAGACCCTATGATAATGATTAACTTACCCGTAACCTCACTAAAACCCCATCCCATTTCACTAAGTGCGCCCAATTGGGCTCTCAATTGAGTTAACATCCACCTCAAAAATTTGACTAAAGTGTCAATCCAAAGGAGGCTGGGATGGTCCGGAAGGCTGTAAGGAGCACCAGGCCTTGTTTGAATGTCAATTCCATTATAAAAGAGTGAATTAAGCCATAAAGCAATGTTTTGAAATCTGGACAGGACTGGGTGGTCTGACCGCAAACCAAAGGCATTTTCGGTCTAGGTTAATGCTCAAACCCAATTATCCTAAAACCCAGTAACCCACATAGACTTGTTCAACCCCGCAAAATCAAGAAATAGTTACTAGTTATAATTTAATATAGTATAATTAATTCTTTCTACTTTTTTTCATCTTAAATTTTTAATCAACTTGATATAAGTTTGACATGTTACATTACTTTGGCTTTATTTATTTTACAACATGAGTATTACCTTACTACCTTAATATCTCAATAATTATTTGGCAAAATTACCATGACATAGGCCGGCAATTTCATGGGATGACCCGGGGCCGCTCCGGTATCCCGTTCGTAAAATTAACGGTTCCTACCCCTAACCCCCCACCCCGCCCTGACCCGAACACACCCACCCCTTCAATTGCACCCCACAAGTTGGTTTTGACTTTAGAGTCAAATTCTGACTACAAAGTCAAAATCAACTTGTGGGGTGGAAATGTGGAATTGAAGGGGGTGGGGGGTGTTCGGGTCGAGGCGGAGTGAGGGGTTTACCGAGGGGTTAGGGGTAAGAACAGTCAATTTTACGAACGGGACACCTTTAACAGTAATATAAATAATACAAATAAAAAATAGAAATTATGAAAGTATCAAGAGAATGACAGACATTAAACAGTATATGGAAATAGGGCAGAAGCTACCTGGTGACCTCCTTCAAAGATCCCCTCTGGCCTGGGCATGTTTGTATGGCAGTAGCGATTCCATCCCTGTCGCGCTGCCCACTGGAAACGCAGCCCTAAGCCCAATCGGTAGAGTGTGATCATCAATTGAATTTGGACAGCCTTCCTAATCGATGGTCAGATTTCTTCAACTGCAGATAAATTGGACCGTCGGCAAATTGGGTGCGTAGCATGAGAATATAGAGAGTACCATGGGGCCTTCCTAATCGATGGTGCACCCGTGCACCCAACATATGGGGCCTCATCGTCCAAATCGAATCGCAATGCTTGACACCTCTTCTTCGATCTTTCCTTTTCACATACTTGTCTTTCCGTGGAAGGAGAAAGAATGGAATGAATATTTGATGAGAATGACATTTCCGATGAAGAGCCAATAGAGGTAATTCGCCCGATCTCTCTCCTGCATTGGATCTACCGAAGGAAAGCACCTCAAGCGGATTCTATAGCCTAGATTTGTCTAATTGGGATTTCATGTATAAGGCACTTTTTTCTTATTCTAATTATAATCAGATAAAATCCAATCAGATCAGATCCCATCAATTACGGTGGGGTTCTAGTGACACCGGAGAACGGTGCCACTCCGGTGTCACTGCATTTTTAGGGCACTTCCAATGCTCCGTTGTAATATTGACATTTCCTACCCTTCGTAACCCAACTCCTAAACCCTCCACCCTACTCCCACCCCTACACCCCCACCCCAACCCCGCTGTAAGCCCCCCCCCCCCTCCACAAAATATGTAGTTGTTATGCATTGTATAATAGCAACATATTTTGTGGGGGCTCACGACGGGGTGGGGGTGGGGGTAGGGTGGGGGATTTAGGGGGTGAGTTAGGATGGGTAGGAACCGTCAATATTACAACGGAGCACCAGAGGTGCCCCAAAAACATAGTGGCACTAGAGTGGCACCGTTCTTCGGTGTCACTAGAACCGGGCCGTATTATTATTATTATTATTATTATTATTATTATTATTATTATTATTATTATTATTATTATTATTATTATTATTATTATTATTATTATTATTATTATTATTATTATTATTATTATTATTATTACTATTATTATTATTCTTAAAAATGAAAAAAAATAAATTTTAGAAACAAGTCAGATCAAATAGAAAATTGAGAAAGTAATCCTTAATTATTAGACATCATAATTTTTTTAAAATACATTAACAATGTCAATATGATTCTACTTTTAAATACATTTTTATTGCTACCTGTAATTTGAGTTTCTAAAGTTTTGATCTTTTACTACATCGAGTTGATCAATTTTGATCATGACTTAAATAAAATTAATATTTAATATTCATATACAGAGTATATTATAGTTTAACTGAAATAACTGCTATATCTATGGTGTTATATTAATCATAAAAAAAGTTTTTTAGTACCAAGAACACATTGATATATTATAAGAATGAGATACCCTAATAAAAATACTATCTCTTCTATATATTGATTATTTAAATTTAATAACTTTTTAATGTATATATGAATTAAATATTTATTCTAATGTATATATCAACTAATTATAAAAATATTAAACCAATATTCTTATTTCGTAAAAAAATAATCATAAAATAAAAAATATCACTACATTATAATATGAATGATTATTCTAATATATGAATTAATTAATTTTATTTCATTAAAAAATAATCATAAAATAAAAAATAATGATTATATTATAATATGAATTATCATTACAATTTTCAAACATTATTATAAAGTCAAATTATATTATTGATTTTAATTTTAAATCAAATCATAATTAATCAGATCAAATCACACCAGATCAAATAAGATCCAATCAGATCAGTTTAGAACACTGTAGGAGTTTAGCTTTAAATATTTAACATTAACATTTTCTAAATTAATTTATGCCAATAAATTTTTATTCATTATGCCAATGTTAATTAACTTTTTATTACTCCGTGTAATATTCATAATATATTGAATAATAAGCGAATGTAAACATATTTTAATTTATGTTTATTTTTTTATTTAATATATTATGAAAGTCACTATAACATGTAGATTAATAAATAACGAAGGTAGTATATTGGAGTATATGAAAACAAATAAAATTACTTGTTCCTGCTAATTAAATTTAGGGGGATGTATTCAATTAGGAGTTCGTAAGATTTTTTAGACTTTCAACTTCTAAATGTATTCAATCTGGATTTTAAAAGTCTTTACAATTTTAGAGATGTTCAATTTGGATTTTTGAAAAATCTTTGAAAATTTAGAGGTATTTAATAAGGAATTCAAAAAGCATTAAAAAGTCTTTAGTTATTCAATAATCCATGAATTTTTATACTCCATAGATTTTGTTAGATTCTCACGTAAAATATGCTTGTGTAAAATCCAGGCTCCTAACGCTCGATTTTTAGGAAGGGCGTATTCAATTAGGATTTTATTAGATTTTTTAGATTTCAAAAAAATTAGTGGATTTGAAAAATCTGTAGAATCCATGTAGAGTTTAGTAGATTTTTTTTGTAGAATCCATGTAGAGTTTTAAAAATTCGTAGAATCTATGCATAGTTTAAAAAATATGTAGAATCCAAACATCACTCCTGTTCGATCTAAACGGGAATAAGCTTTCCGGGCAAATCCCATCTAGTTTCGAGAATCTCCATTCTCTCACTCACTTGGACTTGAGCTCCAACCTTCTTGAAGGTCATCTTCCCCAATCGCTCACAAACATGGTGAATATTGTTGGCTTTTACGCTCAACAAAACAGACTTTCAGGGCACTTAGATGATCTTTTTGCGGCTTCTACCATTTGGAGAATTGAGCTTCTGAATTTAAGCAGTGACAGTTTTTCCGGCAGCCTGCCGCCATCTCTTGGCAACGTGTCGTACCTCACGTGTTTGGATCTTCACGAGAATGGTTTCGCTGGAGGGATTCCCTGTGAGATTTTGAATCTCACTCAGCTTGAGTATTTGGATTTGTCTAGGAACAGACTCTCCGGTAGGATCCCCGACCACGGCGGGAACATGAGTTTAGAACTAATATTATCAGCGGTCATCACGGTTTTGGTAGTGTTTCTGCTGAGGAGGAAGAAATGGAAGCCCAAAAATGGAGGTGGAGGAAAGAAGAAGAAAAGGCTTTGCCGATGATGACGACTATGATCCCGAGACACCTGGGGGCGGCGACTATGATCCAGAGACATAGAGCAGGAGGAGCAGGCGACAGTCAATCAACAGAGTAGGAGCCGCAGAGAATGGAGAATAAATGAAGTCCACAGAAATCTAGGGTTGTGAGAACAGATTTCCATGAGTGAAAAATGCAAGCATTTTTCGATAGAAAATACAACAAAATACGTAGACTATTAAAATTCATAAACTCTTGAATATCTCAAAATTTTAAAAAACTTTTAAAAATTCAAGTTGAATACTTCAATATTTTAAAGACTTTTGAAAATCACTATTGAATACCTCAAGATTTTTAAAGATTTTTGAAAATCCTTATTGAATACACTCAGATTTTAAAAACCTAAAAAAATTCTACAGACTTCCAGTTCAATACACCCCCTACTTGGGGGTGTATTCAATCAGGATTCTGATGGATTTTTTTGGATTTTGAAAATCTGTAGGTATTCAATTCAAATTTTAAAAAGTCATTTAAAATTTGAATATATTCAATTTAGGGGCTGTTTGGCAACTTCTGAATGGGTAAGTGCTGAATCAGTAAGAGATCTGAATCATTAAGTGCTGAACCAGTAAGAGGTTTGAACCATTAAGAGCTAGTATATTGCTTAACTATTCAGAGGCAAATGTCTGATCAATTCAGATAAGAGGTCTTAACCATTCCGACTCTGTATAATACTTAACCATTCAGAGGTAAATCTCTTAACCATTCAGACATCTGAACCATTAAGAGGCTGAAACAAACAGTCGGAACCATTAAGTGCTGAACCATTCTGATATCTGAACCATTAAGAGGCTGAAACAAACAGCCCCTTAGATTTTAAAAAGTTCTTCTAAATATAATGATATTCAAAAAATTGATAAATTTTTAAGGATTTTTAAAAATGTAGATTTTGATGAATTTTTAAGCATTGGGTATAAATATAAATTCATTCCCAAATCTCACCCAAAAGCCAAAGATTTTATAAACTTCTTCGTAAACAACCTCCGTCCTTCATCCGACTGTCTTCTTCATCTCTCCTTCATCGTTTCCCTGTTTCTTCTATGTTCTTCTTCTTCCTTTCTTCTTCATCTTTTCCTCTTTTCTTTTATTCTATATGTTTCTTTTATGAAAGTATTATTCAGGGGAGGAAAAAAAGAAGAGAGGCAGTGGGGGTGAATCTGGCACGATGGTGGCGGCCGCTTGGGAGCTAAGCCAACAAATGAAAGAAACGAGAAAAAAAGAAGGGACTGTGGGGGAAGAAGTGAAAATGAAAGGAAAAAGGAAAAAAGGAAAAGGAAAAGAAAAAGTAAAGAAAAAAATGGAAAAATAATGTTCAAATATAAAAAAAGAAAAAGAAAAATGTTTATATACACATAATTCATTGATTACAAATAATCTGTCAGAATCATAAAAAATACTTCTTAAAAATAAATTAAAATCTATCTAACTCTACGTAAACTTAAAATAACCTATGGATTTTACAAAATCCATGAATTCTAAACAATGTATCAGAATCTATTAAAATCTGAATTGAATACACCCTCCTAAGATCACACAATAAGTCAATATATTTGGATTTATCTCTATGAGATTTATCCAGATTTTGATTTTGGATATCAAAACATATTTTATTTCAGCCCAAAACTCAACAATAATTTATGTCAATCAAAGTACATTTGACTAATCAAATAATTATTCATTAATAATTCTAGGGTATGTTTTGGGGCATTACAAAATCACAACCTCCAATTTTGGTGATGCAAATAGTGAAATCTAGACTATACAATGGCATTCTGTTATAGTGTTTGAATATAAATTTGAAAAAATCTAACATAAAAATTTAACTCTAACCGTTGCTGTTTTTAATATTTTAGAACGAGTGTCGATTACAACATTTTATAATGTTAGCAATGCTTTATTGAATGAGGAATCCGGTGAAGTTAAAGCTTTTAGAGAAAAGTAAGTATAATTATATTTTTTGTTAAATATGGCAACTATATTACTCTTATTATTTAGAATATCTGGTTACTTTGTTTACCTAGACTTTACCTCCTCTTCGTGTATACATAAATACCCAACCCTGACATATGATGAATAAAATATTCAGTTACAACATTATTAAGTTTATAATTTTTTAAGATATAATTTTATACTTTAAGTGTTTTGAAATTTTAATCGTGCATATTGATGCCAAGTGCTAGAGATAATTTAACTCAGAATTGTAGCATTTTGTTAACAAAAAAACTTTTGTACCTTAAAATAATAAAATCTCTATATTCTATTATATATCATTTTCTATCATTCAAAAATGATCTTAATTTAATAACGTAAATATGATTCTTGCAATTTACGAGGGTGATACTAGTTATTTAAGGAGGATTAGTAAAAAGGCTCCATTCGTCAAGAAAAATTGAACAAGTACCCAATTGAGCGAGCCCTCATTTACGTTGACATGATCATCAAAATAGCCCGGGAATGGGAAGTCTCAGTGGGAACACCACCCCCTAAGGCGGGATGCGGAAGGGAGGTGAAGGTGATGCCGTTCTTCATCCTTAAGCGAGATGTAATAGGAAAAGCTGTCGAAAAGGGTGTTTCCGTTTGACACTTTAGTGCCACTAAAGCTTTTTGTCATTTTTTTCATTTTCTATTAATACGCTTCTCACTTCAAATTGATTCTGTTCGATCAAATTATCCATATAATTACTTCGTAAATAAATTGAACGGAGTGTCCATGTCTGTCAATGGGTCGAGTTCGGGCAGGTGTAAAATGTTTATACTTGTATCTAGACCTGGTCAGCCCGTCTGGCCTGCCCAGCCCGCCCTTTAAAAAGGGTGGATACAGACAACCTTTAATACCCAAATAGGCGGGCCGGCCTAAGCCCGAATTGTATTTGGGCGGATCTGGAAGTTACTTTTAGCCCATGCGGACCAACAAGCCAGCCCATATTCATCAACAATATTCACTTTATTATTAATTATCTAGCCAATATAATTTTGAAAAATGTTATAGTTCACGTATAATGGTTCAACTCACTCACCTCTTTTAAACAAAAATCAATATTCTTTTATGGTATGTTTGGGAACATGAATTTGGATTTCAAATCCAGATTTGGCTTAAATTCCATGTTTGGGAAACTTAAGCATTTTGAATTTGGATTTGAATCGAATTCTTTACATTCAAAACAAAGCTTAAATTGAAATTCATGCACCTTCCCTTGTCATTTGAAATTCAGGATTTCAAATTTTGGAATTGAAATGCATGATTTGAAATGAAATGCTAGTTGCCAAACACTGCCGTAATGAATTAGTATGATGAGTTTATTAATTATGCAACAATACCTCTATTATGCTTTCTTTGTAAATTTGGTGAGTGATGATTTTATATTAAATATTGAAAAAAAGAGTTCAATATTTTTTTTTTGGATTTTTTGTGCAAAAAAAGTTTTCTTGGTGTTTTATCCGGGCCGGATGGCCCAGTGGGTAGTTCAGCCCGCTAAGGTGGGCGTGTATGGGTAAAGAGTTTAACCCATCAAATTCGGGCCGGGCTAGACCCGCCCATGTAAATTGGCTAATAATTTGTATTCAGTCTGACTCAGATCCGGTCTACTTGTATCCTTTTCTAAAAATATTGATCCTGACCATACTCATTTACCCATTTAGATTTTGAAGTTTAATCCTAGATTTAGACCTATTGGATCTTGGTATTGGGTTTTGTATACCTATAATAAAAGTTGACATTTTTAATTTTTCTATAATTGAAAAAATTAATGAAAATACTATGAATGAAAATACATCTTAATTAAGTACAAATAAAAATAGCACTATACGTTACCACAAAATTCAGTCATCTTTATAAAAAAAACTTCAATAAAAATTTTAGATTCATAATCAACTTTTTTGTTACATTCACTCATATTGCAAGAATGTTCTTCATAACATTACAACTAATTGTTTACTTCTAAAGTATTTATTTCATACTACTACATAAACTAACGGGTACATACCTCTAATGTAGTGAAATTAATTCAAAACTATTGAAAGCACGAAGTATTTATTTAACATGTACGGGTTTTAGAATCAGTAGAATCAGTAACATATTTTTCTATGTTCAACCCCTGTTTAACTCGTTTTATATCCGACACTTTATTTTTTAATAGAGGGAGGAGATGAATCAAATATAGGTTGAATAAATACTTCGTGCTTTCAAAATTTTTGAATTAATTTTACTACATGTGTTTGGATTTTAAATCCGGATTTGGTTTAAATTTCATGTTTGGGAAACTTAATCATTTTGAATTTGGATTTGAATCAAATTGAATTTTTTATAGTAAAATTTACACTAAATATGACTAAAATATAATGACTTTCCTAATGTAAAACTTCAATTTTTTTATTCCGTAAATAAGACTTAATAATGACCTATTGAGATGAATAAAGTCCAATAATGCTAGACATTTTGACTAATTAATAATGACCAGTAAATAAAAATTTATATTCAACCCCTATCCCGGCCAACCCATTGGGTGTCGTCCAAGATATACTACCTTGTTCATCATCTTCTTCTTCGTCAGCTCTTCAACCAGAGGTCTCACCGATCTGCAGATTCATCACCGATATTGCTATACGTATGTCGGTAAGTATCTCTTTCAAATATGTCTGCATAATTGATCGAATATGTATTTAATGTGTGTGAATTGCTGAGCAGATCTTCGAGTACAACGGGAGTGCCCTAGTGGCGATGGTGGGGAAGAACTGCTTCGCCATCGCGAGTGACCGCCGGCTCGGTGTACAGCTGCAGACCATCGCCACTGATTTCCAGAGGATTTACAGAGTTCACGGAAAGCTGTTCATTGGCCTCTCCGGCCTGGCCACAGATGCCCAAACCTTGTGCGTCCAATTTCTAATTTCATTAGTAGTTTCGGATGATTGGTTGTTACGTAGCAATGTTTTTTTTCAAAAGTAATTGAAGGTGAATTAGGTGAAAATCGTTCTGTTTTGTTCTTAATGATCTATTAATTTCCCAGGTAAGGATCAAACAAAGGTGAAAACTTTGTAATTCAGTGGAAGTCTGAAAGTCTCTGTACTCTATTTTAGTTTTTCTTTTTCAAATTTGAATTGTAAAGGCTATAGGTTATCTGCATAAGAGTACAAGGCAGATAGAGGAGAGTCCCCAATAAGCAATTTGATCCCTGTTAGACTGTTAAAATTAGCACTGAAATTCGATTGTACTTTGTTATTAATATGCATACTATGATCATTTTAATTTTTTAAAAGATAGTATATAGGGAATGATATGCATCTGTCTCTATAGGTATCAACGTCTTGTGTTCCGTCACAAGTTATACGAGCTCAGAGAAGAGAGAGATATGAAGCCTGAGACTTTTGCCAGCCTTGTATCTGCCATTCTATACGAGAAAAGGTATTGAGCTATGCTGCTATTATATTGTGCAACTTATATGATCAAAATGTGTCAGCTTTGCTGTGTTCTGTTAGTCATATGTGAATTTGGTATCACATGTTTGCAGCTTTGTAATTGCTAATTTAGTACTGAGTATATCTTTTATCGTCACAAGACTTACTTTTAAAAAGTGTAATTTAATACTGCTGAGTAGTATGTTTGGCCTTAAATAATTTTCCCATTTTCTTTTTTCACCCATCCCAAAATTAGTTCTCATTTTTGTTCAAGAGAACATTACGTGGTTCATAGCTCTTATTCTTTCTCTTTTCCCCAAATAAGCACACCAACTAAATAGTGTTCAAGTTCTGATTATGTTTCTTTTTGAGCGGTTCAAGTAAATTTTTATTTAGGTACTTAAGAGTTATCATCAAACACCTTTCTGGATTTTAGCTATTTTCTAGCCCAAGATAATGCAATCTATGGTTTTATTGGAACTTGCAAGTAACTGCCCAATATAAAAAGCTTGCTTTTTTTTTGGCCTAAAATGTCCAATTTTGATTTGAGAACTCACCCATGGCTCTCACAAATGGATGAATGTTTTTGAAGTATTCCTTAGCATTTGCATTGCTTAGCAATTTTTGGGATAATTTATGATTCACTTCTTTAATTCGTCATGTTAATCCTTAGCCTGCACTTTTAATGTGAATGTCACACATTACTTAGCTTCTGATTTATCTTGGGATAGTTTTGCCCATCATGATTGATGATTTTAGATTTAAATTGTTTCTCTGATTTAGATTTGGTCCATACTTCTGCCAACCTGTAATTGCTGGTTTAGGAGATGATGACAAGCCTTTTATTTGCACAATGGATTCAATTGGAGCAAAGTACGTTCTGAATCTCCTTTCATTTTGATCTCCTGCATTGTACTCTGAATCTCAATCTCCTATAGTTTTTTATATCTTGAGCCCTTAGCACTATCTAAATCTTCTTTCATTTTAATCTCCCGAGTCCTTAGCATTGTAATTTTTTTATGCATCATAAAGCTTTCAATTAAATTACTTGTCAAAAATATTCTCTCCTCTTTTTATGTAAACATTTTACTCTTAATTCAATTCTCTCCTCATTGACACACAAGATATTATCTTGTAATGTCTCTGTTGTGAATGACATCATACTTGCATGTCTGAGGATAAACACCTCAAACTGAGTTATTGTTTAGCTTTGACACACCTGGGCTAAGACTTGTTCATGTGTTATGATTTGTTGGGTTGGAGATCCAAGTCCTTCAGGAAAAAAGGAGCCAAAGTGTGACATCTCACAGAATAGTTGGGCGTCAATAACAGAATTTATGTTTTGCTTTCAAGTCACATCCTAGTTTACTCTAATGATGATGAATTATTTGATGGGCTTGTGAAAGCAAGACTACTGTTCATAGAGTATTTTTAGGTGTGCATCAGCATGCAAGACATTTTATTACTGTATTATTATTATTTCTAAGTGGGGGTCCTGTGATGTTCTTTGTTTTCGCCTGTTTAGCAACCAAAATTCCAATTTTTTTGGTGTATGGTGTGAGCTAGTAATTGGTTCTCGAGACATGAAATTTGCGAATAAAGATGTAAACACGGTAAGTAGTCATGTGAATGCAATGCAGGGAGCTTGCCAAAGATTTTGTTGTTGCTGGGACTGCTTCAGAATCACTATATGGAGCCTGTGAGGCCATGTTCAAGTCTGATATGGTTTGTTTCTGTCCACTCTGTCATTTTTACCATGATAATAAGCAATCAAGTTAAGATTCTTTTATGCCAATCTCTGTCATTGAACTTCATACAACCGATAGTCCGACACAGCAATTCATATTCTCTTGTTTAAGTCAATTATAACCAACTAATTTTGAAAGCATTTATATTATCTTGTTAGGAACCCGAAGAACTATTCGAGACAATCTCTCAAGCACTCATAGCATCAGTGGACCGGGACTGCTTGAGTGGCTGGGGTGGACATGTTTATGTCGTGTAAGTTTCCAGTCTCTCTCTCTCTTTCACTCTCTCTCTATGCCAAACTGTGTAGCAGTTTGTACTCTATTTTTCTTCAATACTGCATCTAGTAAGCTTGACACCTTCCCCTCCACCATGCATGCATCTTTTGAACTCAAATACGTCTGTTGGTGTATTCTCTTTGCAGAACGCCGACTGAAGTGACAGAGAAAATCTTGAAGGGCAGAATGGACTGACCATTTCGTATGAAGCCGGGAGATCTATATCTTATTACATACATTTCCACCCTTTTCCCCAGTGCGGCTTCCGTACCAGTTTTCTACTACCAACCATTCAAGTTCTCTGTTTCTGATGTTTGAATGAACCCCTGGCATCGATGTCTATTCACAACGTTATTTCTTTTTCGAAAGTGTATTTTACCATTTTCCCTATTTTGATTGTGAACGATTTTAGAAACGTTGGCAAGAGACATTTAAAGACTTGTAATGCGTATTTCCCTCAAACTCCGTATTGTTTATGAAATATTCGTATTTGTAACCTATTCGATCTACACTTTCAAAGACTTTTGACATGTTTGATTTTAATGGGGGCTTTGATGGCTAATTTTTAGGTGCACATAAAATTACATAGACTCTTTTTACATATATGAAATGATTGACATGATTTAAATAACTAAATACTCCGTAGTTCTTTTTGTTTTGGCTTATCATGTGTAAAATTTAAAACTACATATTTAAAAATTACTCCGTATATTAGAAGCTCTATAAAATAAGTATGTTAACTTATAAAATGAATAATAATTGGAATGAAAATTATAAAATGAAAGAGTGGCATTTTTATTAATTTATTTAAAGTTTATTTTTATTAATTTAATGAGTTGATGAAGTTTGTATGAATCTCTTGAATCCAATGTTTATCATTTGACTAAGGGCAGTGATAATGGTCTTAATGCCTGCTACTTATATCGCATTTTGACGCCAAGGAGCGTTAAACACCGCCTCCTCCTGCGTTAACTGGGTGTCATTATCCTACGTCAAATGTTTGACGCGCGTTGGAGCGCAAAAATAACCATTGAACCCCCCCCTCGGCCCCTCCCTAATAGCTATAATGCCGTCGGGCAAAAAATATTTCATTTCCTCCCTCTATAAATTCAATCTATTTATTTAAAAATCAACACACACCGCAAATAAAAATATCTCTCTCTTCTTTTTTTAAAAAATATTCAAGCATTTGTTTTTATTTTTAATATTAATCCCTTCGGTTTTAACGTTCCTTCGTCTGGTCTCGAGCTCAACGAGAAAGAAATGTGGATTTTTCAATCATACGCTGGTAATCTGACGATGTATGATACGCAAACCTCGGTGAATTTTCAGGACCAAGAGTCCGTTTCGGAGACTCAATCGGAACCAAATGCACCAAAAAAAAGTACACGCTGGAAGAGTCACAAAGCGAAGGACGACAAATGCTAGTTTGAAGCTTCGGGATTTCAAACTCATTTCTAGTAAAATTGTCAGATAAATTAAAGCCAAATCTCAAAGTTTCACGAATATTACCAGTGCTCTAATTTTCTATCACATCACTTCACAAGTTTGATTAAAATCACGAGCTTTGATTTTCAAAAGCCATCAAAAGTTTAAAGTGGAAAGCAAGATGGCAATTTGCAAGTGGATTGTTTGAAAAAAAAAAGAACATTTTTTTTAATCTCCAAATGATTTTGTAAATTAATGGTTTACAATTTGCAAGGAGTACATAAAATTGTGGATGGAAACACGACACATCTTAGAGGCAATACACACCCATATTGTGATGGCCATTTTGTACGTCCAAGTCACTGCATACTCTAGTATATGTAAATCCTCACTCCGGCGGCGGCGGCGGGAACCCGACGGTTATGAAAATCTGTTTGCTGCCGCGTACGGCGGAGCTCTGAGATTCCCCTTGCAGCTGCGCGCCAGCCACTTCTGTACAAATCTTATCTCCTTCATCTTCCTTTCAATAACCGGCTAAAATGGCTGCCGCCTCTGTTCCATGGCTTCAATTTCCAGCTCAATCATTTCACTATAATTCCACCATTTCTCCCGCCAGATTCAAACCTTTATCCATTTCATCATCTCCCATATTTTCCGGCAAGTCTCTCTCTCGCTCTCGCTCTCGCTCTCTAACGGAGCGTCATTATAGTTGGAGTTTATTGACTCCAGGCTTTAATTTTGCAGGGAATCCGGGGAGGTATTGTGTAATTAGGTGTACTTCTTCGAATCAATGGAAGCACGGTAGTTATTCCACTGAGGCGAGGACAGTCGAGAAGGTTCAGGAAGAAAAGCTGAGAGAAGAAAAGAGGAGGGCTGAACTCTATGCTCGAATTGCTTCGGGGGAGTTTACTGCTGAGCAATCTGGGTATGTAAGTTCTAGGGCTTTGAAGTTTGAATTGATCGCTGGCTTAAAGGGTTAGATAAGTATGGAATTCCTGTAAGATTTTACCTTGTCATGACCTAAATTTGTGTGTTGTTTTTACTGAAGTAAACGAAAATATACTGATTTTCTTCGTTGTTTTGAATTCAGTTTGCTTTTTGTTATATGGAACCAGGATTTCATCAATCCTTATCAATGGGCTGGCAAGATTGGGTGTCCCTAGGGCATTTCTTGAATATCTGTTTAAGCGATTCGGTGGCCATGAAGGGTATCCTCGGATTCCAGAGGCAAGAGGATCCATTAAGGCCATTAGGAGTGAGGCCTTTTTCATCCCACTTTATGGGCTTTACAGAACATATGGTGGGATATTCAGATTGACAATTGGTCCCAAGGTTTTTTTTTAGTTTTTATTTTTTTGCTCGTAACCTTATCTCCAATACCTGAGAGTGGTGGTTTACATTCTATTGAGAACACACTGCTTTGGGTTTGTGTATGACTGTTGTATTTGTGTGTGCTGCAGTCTTTCTTAATTGTATCAGATCCTTCTATTGCCAAACACATACTGAAAGACAACTCAAAGGCTTATTCCAAGGTTAGTTGGCCTTTTTATGGATCTTTTTTGGTGAATATGTGCTGAACTTGTCAAATACATTTTGTTTTTATAATGCCATGCAAATTGGTGAATTGAGGAGTGAGGGTAAGGCAGGGTTGATGGGTTCAGATGTTTAAAGGTAATACTAGATGTACCAAAAAACCTAAATCCAGCAAACATTTTGATGTTCAGGGCATCCTAGCTGAAATATTGGATTTTGTAATGGGGAAGGGACTCATACCTGCAGATGGGGAGACATGGCGTGTTCGGCGGCGTGCTATTGTTCCAGCATTGCACCAGAAGGTATTTAAAGTGGTTGTGTCTCTTTTTTTGATGTTTATATTCTACTACCTCTCTCCTAGAGTATACGTCTAGTTTGACTTTTTCGAGTCAAACAGGACAAACTTTGAGCCTTAATTAATTAAAAGCTATAATGTATATTAGTATAAAAATAATTTTAATATATTTAACTTGTTTAGACAAAAAAAATATATCATTGTATTAATATGCAATACAAATTGAGAGTAATTGATGATTAAGGTTTGTCCATTTTGACTCGAAAATGTCAAACTAAATGAATACTCTGGGACGAAGGAAGTATCTTGTTATTTATTCTTGTATGATCTCGATATCAGATCTCTTATGCCTGTGCTTGCACCTTAGGAAAAGATAAAATAGAGTAACACACTAAATGAGGTGCCTCTAGTTTTAGACTCCAAATGCAGCACTCTGGCTTATTTTCTTATAATCAGAATAGTCATTATAATTTTTATAAGAAAACAAGAACTTATCTGGCTGAAAATGATGTTACACAACATTTTCCATTTCAAAAATTCAGCAGATTAAGCAATTTTGCCCAAAAAACTATAAAACGGGTGCTAAATATTGTTGTTTTTTGCCATTGCTGTTTATAGTATGTCGCAAAAATGATTGGCTTGTTTGGACAAGCAACCAATAGATTGTGTAAGAAACTGGATGCCGCTGCATCAGATAGAGAAGATGTGGAGATGGAGTCCCTTTTTTCACGTTTAACACTTGATATCATTGGAAAAGCTCTATTCAATTATGACTTTGACTCACTAAAAGTTGATACTGGTATTGTAGAGGTAATTCTCTGTGAGTTTTGTTCATAATAAATGTTGAGCCTAAGATCTTTTGGTTATTTTTCACATAATGTTTAGTGTTGTATTTTGCTTGGAGCAGGCTGTATATACTGTGTTGCGTGAAGCAGAGAATCGCAGTGTTGCCCCAATTCCGGTTTGGAAGATTCCCATCTGGAAAGACATTTCACCTAAGCTGAAGAAGGTCAACAAAGCGCTAAAGTTGATCAATGAGACCCTGGACGATCTTATTGCAACATGTAAGGTAATGTCATCTTGTTGGTTTTACAATATAATATGAAATGCTACACGCATGTGTACTTTCTTCACTTTTAATCTAGGAAATAACCTCTTACTCCACAAATTGGCCCACATTTGCATCTTTTACTTAAAGGCTGAAACAAGTGCAACTCAAAGGTCAAACTTTTCCCTAAAATGCTGATAAATCCAAGTTGTTAACCTCAGGTGTATTGGAGACTATGCAAATGTTGTTAAGATCAATGTTTCAGCATTATATATTTGATGCTTTTTGCAGCAAGCTTCACTTTGATCTTTCTTTGGATCTCTGCTAACTTTATCTTGTTTTATTACACACTTTTTAGTACTCGTGAATAGGGATAGATTTCAAACCCCCACCACCATAAAAGTGTTCATTTGTTCAATGCTGTTTTAGAACCTTGTGGACATTGAATTTGCTTGTTTTTTTCTTCCTGCTGCTTACGTCGTAGTCCTTTTTTCAATTGAAAATGTATTGCAGAAAATGGTAGATGATGAAGAGTTACAGTTTCACGAGGAATACGTGAATGAACAAGATCCTAGTATCCTACATTTTTTGTTGGCATCGGGAGATGATGTATGGCATGGTGTCTCTGTTGGATCTATTTATATCCAAAACAATTTGGTGCAGAGGTTCTCATACGCTATAACTTGTAGGTTACAAGCAAGCAACTTCGTGATGATTTAATGACAATGCTTATAGCAGGACATGAAACATCTGCTGCGGTGCTGACTTGGACATTCTATCTTCTTTCCACGGTTGGCCCCAAACATCATTTCTCTTCATTGCCTGTCACTGACAACCTCATATGTAAACTTTTTTCATCTCACACGATCAGTCTTCTCTAAAGTACCATTTTCTCCCTCGTAGGCATCTGAAATTTAATCCTTATTTTTAAAATGAGATGATACTTGTATATACTCCTTATAGTTGTCATTCATGTGCATCATTTCTTAATCCTTTTCCTAGTTCAATTTTCTCTTCTTGTTTACTTGAACTACTAATTGCTACTTCTGTAAAACCATCAATATTGGATGGGAAAGACGAAAAGAATTCATCTTGTAACAATTTTATTTCTATTGACATTATTATTGTATGAATGTATATTGAATAAGTTATCACAAAAGGTTATATGGAAGTTTTCTCTAGCGTTATCCTGTACATCTAAATGCATGAAAAAACAGCTTCTAATTAATATTTGTTACTTTTTCATTGTCTTCTTTGTTTGCAGGAACCTACTGTCATGACCAAACTCCAAGATGAGGTATGCCAAATAATAGCATGAAGTAACATCCTTCCCAGTTCTCATTAATACTTCCCCAGTGCATACATCAAGGTGCTATGCACCAAATAAAAAAAGGTTTGAATAAATCTTACATTTATGTTCTCTTGTACTGCTGTTTGTAGGTTGATTCAGTACTAGGTGACCGATATCCAACCATTGAAGATGTGAAGAAACTCAGATATACTACTCGAGTTATTAATGAAGTGAGAAACATTTTCAGATTTGGAATATAAATCTTTTGTTGTCTACTCAAGACTGGTCTTTTTGTTTTTATTTTTGTTTTTTTCATTTGTAGTCTTTACGACTATATCCACAACCACCTGTTTTGATCCGTCGTTCTCTTGAAGATGATATACTTGGAAACTACCCTATTAAAAGGTTTGTTCTACTTGAAACCCAATCTTAACATCCAAGTTATGGTGTGAACAATGGCTACTAAAGTTGTTATTTGTTAGTATGCATCAACACAAGACTTGAGACCCACTCTCCTACAGGATTCTATATGCAGAGTTTTATTTTCACCCATGTGCAACTTTATCACCGCTCCAATGTTATTCTTAACAATAGTTAATATTTGCTTCATGTTTTATTAATTTTATCAATTGTACTTGGATATTGTAACTTTATTTAGGTTCCTAATTTTGAAGTGGTCATTTCCAAAATAATAAAACTTATTAAGTAATTTAGCTTTTGTACGGCTGGAGTTATATGCATTGTCATTCTTTTACGTTTCCCTTACGTGGAACATTCTGTCAGGGGAGAAGACATATTCATTTCCGTGTGGAACTTACACCGGTCCCCTGATCTTTGGAAAGATGCTGATACGTTTTGTCCCGAAAGGTGGCCGTTAGATGGACCTAATCCAAATGAAACAAACCAAAATTTCAGGTAACGTTCTCATTCAGTAAACAAAGTCAGATATAATGAGATGTTTTCTATTTTTTGCAAAGGTATTAAATTTTTAATCACCAGTGTGTTGCTAAAGCTGGAGAAATGATTGTGAGCCATTTTAGGAATTTAGAAGTCAGTATGAATCTTCAATGTGTTAGTCTTATGATTTCTTATGATGACCAGTACTGTTATTATGTTGTTTCAGTTATTTGCCATTTGGTGGAGGCCCAAGAAAGTGTATTGGAGACATGTTAGCAACATTTGAGGTAATCTATACTCCCTATGATTTATAACCTCTTGGAGTGGTTTTGTAATGACATTTTGACAACAATTATGTTATGTGCATATGAGCTTATCATTCATAAAATGATGAAAAATACTCAACTTGACCAGCTGTTGACTTGAGGCTCTGTCCATTTGCAGACTGTAGTTGCACTTGCAATGCTTGTTCGAAGATTTGACTTTCAACTTGCTATTGGAGCTCCACCTGTAAGCTTATACTGCAATGCCCCTTTTATCCTGACTGGTTTCCTTTTTTTTTTCTGGTTTGCCCATGGAATCTGCCACTAGGGACTATACGTTTACAGTACATACGATATAGAGACTTAGGCTTCTATAAGTGACTTAGAGAAGCCTAGCGTTTAAGCAACCCTCGGCCATGATTTAGAAGCAAACGTTACACTTTTGTGCTTAAGCAGCTGAATAGAGATAAATGACATTTCTACCCTCAAATAAATGCTTACTCCTTCCCATCTCAATGACAACCAAAGTAGACCAAATGAGACCAGCTATCTGGTTCTATGTGTGCCAGGTTGGATTGACAACAGGGGCAACAATTCACACCACCCAAGGTTTGAGAATGACCGTTACACGGAGGACAAGACCGCCTCAAGTAGTGGAGATGCCGCTGCCAGGATTCCACAGAAACTACTGTCTCATGTGTAAAAGATCAAAAAGGCGAGGACTTTACGGTGGCATACGATAATGAATCCGTATCTCGTCACCCTGCTCGCATTTGATCTCTTCTCAAGGGTAAGTTTGTATCTCGGGTTCGCTCTCTGTGTATTGTTTGTACCAAGTTTATTGAAAGACAGAAAAGAATTTTAAAAATTATACATAGCTAATGTAGTTGTACTTCAGTACTTGTATGAAAAGAATGAAAAACTGATAAANCCCCCCCCCCCCCCCCATGGCCTACAAATGAACTAATCTTACTGTCATATTCCAAACCATGAAAAAAGTTGTATGGGTTGGGGTACTTTCATATAGAATAAAGCATGATGATACTTGTTGCACTCTATAATTTACCAAACCTTGGTTGATACCTCTTCCACTTAAAGTGGGTACACGTTGGAGCTGTTCGAGTTTTTGTTGTTCCAATCCAAGTCCCCGTCTAGAAACGATACATTATATGGACATGACCAGAATATTTTTGAATGAGACAACAGAATAGGGATTCTTGTCCCATCCGTATGACCATATGTCCCGGTCCATTTGGGTTGTCAAATTTTTATTCTGAACCTATTCTAAATACATTAAAATGAAAAGCGACCGAGAGAAATAAAATTATCATCTTATTTTGTCGTCACATTTATTTATTTATTTATTTCGGATCCAAGAAAGAACAAATAGTTCTAAATTATTGTGGTTTTAAAATGAATTGGACAATGTGAGATAATGTCGGATTTGTTTATTTATTTGGGATAACAAGAAGGAACAAACATTTTTGAACAAAATAAGCCTTTTCGACCCAATTTTATAAACCAAGATTAGAATCAAGCCTACTAAAATCCCAATTTGTTTCGAACTGTAACCACCCCTTTACATACATAAAAAAAACAAAGCCTTCTTATATTTATTCCTTAGGGTCCGTTTGGTATATGAAATTGATGGAATTGGAATTGAATTGGAATTGAAATTCTATGGGATTCAATTCCATAGAATTGAATTCACCAATTCCAATTCATTTTTTGCACTATCAATTCCAAATCCACATGATTTATGTGCTACCAAACACCAGAATTGGAATCGAAGTCCTCAATTCTAATTTCATCGTTTGAATTCCATGTACCAAACGGGGCCTTAAATTTGAGTGTTGATATTGTGAAATATTTATACTTGACATTCCATAATTTATATTGCATGCTGACATTTCACGATTTCGATTGACATTATATTTGGTATTATTTGATATTACTATTTCTACAGAGACCTACGGGAGAGGGACTCTCGTTGGTCGTGCCTAGAGTTCAACGAATCCTTGCAAGCTAGAGATTCATTTCAAAAAACACATCTAGAGACTTCGTACCTCTCTGAATGAATTGAACTATGTTCAACGAATCTCCTTTCAGAGACTTCGTTCGGAATCGTCCGCTTTGCCGCAGATCCACTCTTGTTTCGTTCCAAACCTCCCTTCTGATTGTGGGGCTTCCATTAGCGTTTTACCCCAACCTCACTCAAGAAAATACATAGGGTGAGATGTAGGGCTAATTTGTCTTGTGCAAGAGATTTCATTTGAACAAAGCACGTATTATAAAAAATATTGAAAGTTTTATTTTATATACGGATTATATGAAATACAAAGTATGTTTTAATTATATTTTGGTATTTTTTTAATACTCACTTCGTACCATAAAAAAGATTCAACTTTGGCTGGACATGAAAATTAAAAAAAATGAAATTTTGAGACTAGAAGTAATGCAGAAGAGAGATATATTACGAATCACATTTTTGTTTTCAAAAGTAGCAAGTGGAATTATTTTTTTTTTGGATGAGTAAAAAAAGGTTTTTTTTATGGGATTGAATTTTTATAAAATTGCAAAAATTAAAAACTCAAGCATAACATAGTAAAATTTTATAAGTAGACATAATTGAAGATTGATTTTTTTTCAATTGGAGATGATTGGTTTTTTTTATTACAAAATAATATGACTAATTTTTATTTTAAAATAATAATGGTTATTGATTACGCTTGTCTGATTTTTATTCGAGAAATTGAGCTGGAAGTCCTGAGAGTAAGTTTCGAAACTCAAAGACTCCCTTCGCGACTCTCTTTATATTCTGTGCACCTCAATAGTAAAGTCTGAAAAAGAGAATCTTAAGACTCTCCTTCAAACTCTCTCAATTCTCATCGGAGATGCCTTTATATCTTTTGTCATCTAAAATTCTTTACAATTTTATGTTGTCTCAATTTTATTAATACTTACTCTTTCCATTATTTTATGTTGTGTAGATGTCATGAGAATCCCATTAATGTAAGAATCGATAGAATTTGTCAATGTGGAGTATAAAAAATGGGGTAGATTCGTGGGTATCATCTTCCATCTTAAAAAAGAAACACAAATACCAATGTGATGGTCTACGACCTCTTGGGCCTCGCGTGATTTGTTTCCCCTTTTGTACTGCCACACTCTGCCCGAGCCCTGTCATTTGGGAGGGAGATTCGAAAAAAAAGTTAATCGAATTCTATAACGATTAATGCTAGAATCACAAACATACAATACAATAAAATTTCGAAATTTTTCTTTTTAACATTTTATTAGAAAAAAAATGCACTAAAAAAATAAAATTATGTTTTAATTTAAAATTCAAAAAATACAAATTTATGAATTTTGTAAATTATTTATGTGTGACTTTAGCATTTTTGTTCTCTAATACTCCGTATATACCGTTGTTTTCTACTCCCTCTGTTCCATAAAATAATTTCCCTTTCGTTTTTTTAATTCCCTAAAACACTTCCACTTTCTATTAAAAAACCACTTCTACCCTTACTTTTTTCTTACCCTATCTATCACATCATACTTTTTCACTAATAATCAAACTATCACATCTTACTTTTACCCATCACATCAGGGGCAAAATTGAAAAGTCAACCAAAACTTGTTAGAATATAAATAACTCATTCTGAGCCACAACCACAAGCTTGAACTTTTGGTTGAACTGGTTCCTTGACATGGTATCGGAGCCTTGTTGACTAAGAGGTCACGGATTCGAAACTCACCGCCACCCAGTTTTAAGAAAATTAATGTTTCATGTGCAAGGCTCGAAAAAATAACTATGCCTGCACGTGAGGGGGCGTGTTAGAATATAAATAACTCATCATGGGCCACAACCACAAGCTTGAGCTTTTGGTTGAACTGATTCCTTGACAAAATTACACTTCCCTTATTTTGGCCCAAAGTCAAAATGAGAATAGTTTTAAGAGTGTGCTCAAAAAATAGAAGTTTAAATTTACCGAGTATAAGTTGTGGGCTCAAATATTTCGTAAATTCATTTATTTCATGATATGAAATTATCCTGATCAATTTGTAAGTATATTAATACTTCACTCGTGCCGAGTCGTGCGATGCACGGGAATATATTGTTTTAAATAGTTACAAAACAATATGAATATAATAAATATAAGTCATTTTATAATTTAAATTTAATGATAACTTAAAATATAAATATCATAGTAATCTTATAACCTTGTAATTGCTCTTATAACCGTGTAATCTATCAATATAATAAGTGTACTCATAAGTCTTAACATTGATACCACAAACAATAAGGAAAGTTTGATGTCTTTTTGGTTGAGGTAGAGAACGATGCCATTTTTCTCACCTGAATTGATAATGATTGGCCTAAAAGTATTGAAGAAGGGCAATCGTTATGTCCAAATAAGGAGAAAAGAAACTGGAAAATATAGGAAAACTAAACCAATGATAAAAATACAAATAGCCTAACGGAGCAAGCATGATGAAAAAGCCAAAGCTCAATCAACCACTTGGTCCAAAGGAGTCAGGAATCAGCAGTAGGGGTATTTATAACACCTCCCTGGAAGAAAATGGACAGGAAGCCCACAATACGTGTTTTATTTGTGAAATTTAAAAAATGAGGTTTGTTCACTAGAAAAAATGAGGTTGTGTAAATTTGTTGTACATTTGTCCTCCCATCCCAAAAAGTTTATAATTTCCAATACTTTGTAGTGTTATCTATTTTAAAATTTTTTTTATTTAGAAATTAGTGAATAAAATGTGAGTAAATATTAGACAGTTCAACACTACACCAAAAGTTTAAGAAAACAAGATATGACGGTAATAATACTTTATTTTATCAAATAATAATTGATGGTGTAAATTACCACGCAAATGCTAAGTATAAATAATCGGGAGGGTTGTAGGTGGAAACACCTGTAACCCGGCTTGTTATTAAAGAAAGTAGGAACTTATTACAATCAGTACCGTGTGGATTAATTAAAGCATGCCTCACAAATGAGGCTTTTAGGGGTATTTATAATAATCCTAAGCACGTCAAGCACGTCTCTGGTTATCCAACCGGTCATTCGTCTGACCGGCTGCATAAGAGTACTTGAGAAGAGAATCTATCTGCAGTTGTGACGTTCAATCTCCCCACCCAACCGGCTTCACGACCCGGTCTGAGAAAGATGCGCTCTGTCACTTTCGTCACCACCCAGTCGGACGAACCAACCGGGTGGTATCCATGGGTTATTACCCATCAAGGAGTCCTCCGATTCCCGGTCCTGTGGGGACCATCAGGGGCGGGAAGCACATGCGATTATCTCTTGAAATTTGAACTGCCCAGTCGCTTTTTGGCAGGAAAATCGTCTCGGAAAACCAGTGCCAACCCAAAATATTTGAAATTTGAATTTTCAAAATTCAAATTTCGAAAACCGGGTGTCCAAGGCGGGAGAATCTTCTCGAAGTCGGGTACGGAGCCGCCGATTCATTGTGCCGTTTCGTCTTCCCGAGAGGTTATGATGGCAAATCATTTCAGCTGCCACGTGTCATTCTTTCGTTCGTCCGTCTGGGCGGCATCTCCCCTATATAAAGCGAGGTTCTCCCTAGAATTTCCTCACTTGCAAATCTTCAATTAAAAAATTGCCCGGCTGCTTCTATTGTTTCCGAGCCCTCCGAGTCGAGTCTTCTAATTGCTTCCAAGTAAGTCTTCCCTCCCCTTTCCTTTGAGTCATGTCTGACCGTGAAGACAGCCAGAACCCTTCCGTCCATTCTTATGGTTCTGGTGACCGGTCTCAGACTTCTGGTTCCTCTCCTTCTTCATCCTCTAAATCTGAGCACCCGACTGCTTCTCCACAGAAGAAGCCGGTTGATGCTTCCACTTGCGCTCCTTCTTCCGTGGCGCAAGTGGTGTCGGTTGCCCAACCCGGGGATGAGGGTTTTATTCAGCTGTACGACCGGTTGCTCCAAACGCAATCGTCGGTCATGCAGAAGGCCCAAGTCCACGAGGTGCGCAACCTGATGCCGGACGGATACCAATTGACTTACCGGGCAATGTGGAAGAGCATTATTCCTCTCCATGTCGGTACATCGATTGGCATCCATAACCATTCTATCAAGGACCTGGGCGAATTCTCTATTCACCCATTCAAAGTCCTTTTCCTCGAGACTTACGGAATCATGCTCGGGCAGCTGGCCCCTAATGGTCACTGTTTGTTGGGCAGCTTCATCAATGTCTACCGGTTCCTCCGTATTTCCCTCTCCCTTCGTCTCTTCGACCATATGTTCGATGTCCGGCCCGGGTCCAAGGAAACCCTTGGATTCGTGGTGGTGTCTTCTCACCAAGGCCGGACATTTCTCTGTGGCCTTCCTCCTTCTAACAAGAAGTGGAAGGACAAATACGTGTCCATCAAATTCCCCCAGCCGCTTTTCGTTTTGCCCAAAACGTCTGGGGGAAGAGAATGAAGCGCCAGGTCAAACCAGCGGAGGCCGATGACCTGGCGGCTTGGGAAGCCACTCTCCGGGCCGGGGATGCCTCCACCCGCAGTCTTTACCACGTCGGGAAGTGGAGCGTCTACCCCGGCCGGGAGACTGACCCTGAGCCGGAGATCGTCCTGCCAGGGGCGATCCCCGAAGCTATCCCCATCAACCGGGCGAGGGGATCCGAAGCCCTGGCCACAGCCACCGCCGGTCCTTCATGCCCGACAAAGAAGAAGAAAAAGAAAGGTCAATCAACTACCCTTTATTTTCCTTCCATTTTTTTTGTATCGCTGTTCTTCTAACCGGTGTCTTTCCCTGCAGTGGTGAAATTCCAGTCAAAGTTTGCCGTTCCTCAGATAGTGGTTGAAGAGCCCTCCTCCGCTCAGCCACTTACTCCTCCATCCAGCCAGCCGTTCCTGCTGGACGAGCAACCGGCCCAGTCCCATCAGGGGACCAACCAGCCTATTCACTCGGGGGAACTATACATCAACGTAGATACCCTCGAGTTCGACGCCATGATGGGGGAGACCGGGCACACCTCCCAGGCCGGGTTGGCAGGCAAACCCAACGAGGAAGGCGAAGCCGAGGAGGAGGCTGCTGGGGAGTCTCTTCAATGGAAGAGGCGGAAGACTGAGGAGGCCAACCAGCCACCCCACCAGGGGGCCAGTCCTCCGACGCCGGCAAGGGGCCAATCGTGCCCAGGTCCATGGCTTTGATGTCCAGGTCAGACGAGGAGCTCTTCCGAGCGTTTCGATCCGATCTGACTGAGGTAATGCCCTTTTCTTCCTTCTTACCGCCCTCTTATTATTTTTGACTCTCTACCGAAAAGTTTTTCATGTCTTTAAAGCAGGTCGGCCGGATCGGAGAGGAGTACTTCGCCCGGCTGGTGAAGTCCAAAGAAGAGGAGATGGCCTGGATGGAGGCCATGATGGTCCAGTGCCGGAAGGATGCTCAAGCCGCCCGCGCACAAGCAGAGAAGGTGGAGGCCAAATGGCTGGAGCACTGCACGGTCTACCGCCAGCTCTATGCCAAGCACGACGGACTTCTCAAGGTTGCGAAAGAGGTCGATGAGCAGGCCCAGGCCAAGATCCAGCAGCTGGAGGCCGAGAATGCCCGGTCAGCCGAGGAAATCGCTCGGCTAGGAGATGAGCTGCAGAAAGAGCAGTCGGAGCGGGCCGCCGTTGCCGCTGTCTGGGCAGCTCAAGCGCGAGAGGAGTTCGCCGCTAAGGCGTTGCCTGACCGGGAGACGGCCATCCACTTCTTCCAAGGCCTGTACAAGCATCCAGTATCGGCTGACATCGTGGACGAAATTGGGACCTATGGGTTTGAAAGTGGTCAGTACTCTGAGCGGAAGGCCCTCTATGGCATCCTTGAGCAGAGGATCCAAGGCTTTCGACCCAAGGCCCTTTCACTGCCCGAGCTGCATGATGAGGCGCCGGTCCCCCCATTTCTGGGCATCTGATCCATCCGACCTTCTTCTCTCTTTTGATTTTTTTTATGATGTAATATCCTGCCTCCGGGCGCTTTTTGTAACCCGTTGAAATATTAATGAAAATATTTTCTATATTATGTGCTGAGTGCTTTTTTCCATATCTCATTAATTCTTTTCAACTTAGATTCTTTAACCGTTTAGATTAGTAAATAACAGCCCAGCTGTATTTACCCGGCTTAGAATACAATTTTACCCAAGTCTTTTCGAAAGACTGGATAGTCAGCCGGGAAGACTTTAAGTTTTATAAATTTCCTCCCGGATTGGTATAACCCTCGATGGCGTATTGACTTGTTCTTTTCGAAAGATTAAGCATTTGCCCGGGTTCTTGTAAGGCCGACCTGTTTCCACAATGGCTTAACGCCCTTGTGGAAAGGTAAACCTTAAGTTTTTCTTCAGAACGTCTGGCTTAAACTGGCCGGGGTGCTCTCCCTCTAGTTAAGCCAAATCGTTTTTAACTCCCGTGTCAGTACGGATGAGGTGTTGGATCGGTCAGACCGGTCTCTCTTCTCTTTTTTTTTGAGATGTCCAATTCGATTGGACATCTAACCGGATAGATTGGTACGTGACGAATTACCGGTTAATGTATGAGAACAATCTTTCGGAAAAGACAAGTTTTATTACTGGCCGGGAACTCATTACACTTTATCTATAAAATTTACGTAAGTGGTGAGAGTTCCAATGTCGGTCGACCCGGACACCTTCCATAGTTTCCAACTGGTAAGTGCCCGGTCTGACGATTGCTTTTACGCGATAGGGCCCTTCCCAATTACGTGCTAGCTTACCCCTCTCATTAGACTTACTAGCATCCCTTCTGCGCAAAACTTCATCATGCACTTGGAAGTATCGCGGGCCTACCCGGTTATCATGATACCGCTTTACTGACTGCTGGTAACCGGCCATCTTGACAGCCGCTATGGTCCTTCCTTCTTCCACCAGATTCAGTTCAGCGAGGTGGTCGACCTCATTCTGACCGGGCTGGTACACGGTTTCCCTAAATGTTGGAATTTCTGCCTCCACTGGTAGCCGGGCTTCACATACGTAAGTGAGCACAAAAGGAGTCTATCCAGTTGCTCTTCTTGAAGTCACTCTATGCGCCCAGACCGTATGAGGTAAGGCTTCCAACCACTTGTGTCCTTCCTCACCCAGTCTCTTTTTTAGACCGTCCACAATTGTCCGGTTAGCGTTCTCGACTTGGCCATTCCCCTGTGGATATGCTACCGATGCCTTGCTATGCTTGACACCGAAGCTAGCAAGGTATGCAGTGAACCGGGGGTTGCGAAACTATGGACCGTTATCGGTGACAATGATTTTTGGGGCACCAAACCGGGTGATAATGTTTTTCCAAACAAATTTCTCACATTGCCATACGGTTATAGTGGCCATTGCCTCAGCCTCGATCCATTTGGTGAAGTAATCAATAGCCACCATCACGAACTTCTTTCCGCCTTGGGCAACCGGGAAGGCTCCAATAATGTCAATCCCAAACCGGGAAAATGGTATGACATTAGAGGTTGGTTGGTAATATGTGGCCGGTCTTCCAGGGTGTTTGTAAAAAACCTGGCATGTCTTACATCTCTGGACATACCGTTCACAATCTCCAACAATGGTTGGCCAGTAGTAGCCTAGCAATATTATCCTTTGAGCCAAAGTGCGGGACATCTGATGGGCTGCACAAACTCCCTCATGTACCTCAGCTATTACCCACTCAGCTTCAGGGTTGGTAAGGCAACGCAAGAGCAGTCCGCCAATGGCACGTTTGTATAGGTGACCGTCAATTACCTGGAAACGTGGAGCCCGTAGGACCACTTTCCTGGCTCGTTCCTCGTCATCCGGCTTCTGACCGGTCTCTAGATACTCCATGAGTTCGTACCTCCAGTCAGCATCTGCTCCGATTATCCCGGTCGCTGAAGTCTGGCCAGGTTGGATGGCCGCGACTTCAAACCGGTCTATGCTCGGCACGTCCAGTATTTCAATTTTTGCCAATTTTGACACATGCTCTGGGCAAGCTTGCGTCAATTTTGAAAGCATATCTGCATCACCGTTTTCTGACCGGGGTATCCTGGTTAGACGAAACTCTTCTAACTCCCTTATGAGTGCTCGGACCAGGTCACTATACCGGGCCAGGCGATCTTCCTTTACTTCCATCTCACCATTGACTTGTCCGACAACCAGACTTGATTCGGAACGGATCTTCATCCTTTTTATCCCGAGAGCCCGGGCTAATCTAAGACCACCGGCCAACGCCTCATACTCCGCCTCATTATTGGTGAGCTTGAAATTAAAAACTAAGGCATGGTAGATCTTAAATCCTTCCGGGGTAGTGAAGACTACGCCGGCCCCGCATCCCTTCGGTCCAGAGGCCCCATCAATGGCCATATCCCACCACGGTTCGACCGTATGGAAAGGTCCGGCTTCGGGCTCTAGACCGGTCAGTTCGACGAGGAAGTCTGCCAAAGCTTGACCCTTGATTGCAGTCCTTGGTTTATATTCTATTTTGAACTGAGTGAGCATCATTGCCCATTTGATCAATCTTCCCGAGGAGGTTGAATTTCGAAGGACCAGTCCAAGTGGCTGATCGGTTAGTACTTCCACAGCGTGAGCTTGGAAGTACGCGGTTAGTTTCTTGGCTGTTATGAAAAGTGCGTATGCCGTTTTCTCAATGGCGATGTACCGGCTTTCCGCCCCATTTAGTGCTTTGCTCACATAGTAAATAGGCCTCTGGCCGTCTTCATTTCTTATCAAAACAGAGCTTACAGCGTTTTGGGAAATGCCCAGATACAAATACAAAGTCTCACCCGGTTTGGGTTTAGACAAAACAATATCAGAGACTAAGTACTCCTTCAGCTGCTGGAAAGCTTCCTCGCACTCCTGGTCCCATTCGAATGTGTTGGCCTTCTTTAATACCTTGAAGAAAGGCAGAGCTCTCTCTGCAGACCGGGAGAGAAAACGACTCAAGGCTGCCAACCGCCCGGTAAGTCGTTGTACGTCCTTCAGCGAACTGGGCGACCTCATTTCAGTTATGGCCTTAATCTTCTCCGGATTAGGCTCAATGCCACGCTTGGTTACCATGAACCCCAGGGACTTACCGGTCTTTACAGCAAAGACGCATTTCTTGGGGTTGAGACACAAGTTGTACTTGGCCATAATCTCGAAGCAAAGCCTCATGGCGCTCGAGCTTTTGATCAGCATATCGTCCACATAGGCTTCCATGGACTTACCGAGGAGTGGCTTAAAAAGCCAGTTTACCATCCTCTGATAGGTGGCGCCCGAGTTTTTTAGCCCAAAGGCCATCACTCGGTAACAATAAGTGCCTTCTGGTGTTAAGAAAGAAGTATTCTCCTCGTCCTCCTCGGCCATGAAGATTTGATGATAGCCTTTGAAGGCATCCATGAAGCTCAGCAACTCACAACCGGCCGTCTCATCGACCATCTGATCGGGACTGGGCAGCGGGTATGAATCCATTGGGCACGCCTTGTTCAGATCTGTATAGTCCACACACATGCGCCAGGTGTCGCCTTTCGGAGCCAAGACGACGTTTGCTAACCAGGCTGGGTATTGTACTTCCCATATGTGCCCGACCGCCAACAAATCCTTCACCTCTTTTTTCACAAAGTCCCTCCGGACATTCGCCAAGTGCCTCTTCTTCTGTTTCACAGGCCGGTACCCTTCCATCACAGCCAAACGATGGCATATGACAGAACGGTCAATGCCCGGCATGTCCGCCACACTCCAAGCGAAAATATCCGCACATTCCCGAAGGACTGAGATAATTTCTTCTCGAAGTCCTCCAGGCAGGTCCCTGCCTATTCGCACCATCCTTCCCGGGAAGGCTTCCCGGAGAACAATCTGCTCGGTCTCATCACCCGGTTCCAGTTTTGACCGCTCTTCTTCCTGGGAAACCAAGGTAACCCTCTCAAATGCCTTGGTCATTTTCTTTACGGCCTCCAAGTAACAAGACCGGGCCTTCTTTTGGTCTCCTCTCACTTGTCCGATACCACCCGGGGTATAGAACTTCATGCAAAGGTGGGCCATGGAGATGACTCCACGGACCTTGTTTATTCCAGGCCGACCTAGGATGGCGTTGTGAACACATTTGATGTTCACAACCACAAACCTCATTTGTTTTTGGACGACATGGTCGCCCGTGCCCAGCTCACAAATTAAAAGGATCGACCCTTCAGCTTCGACTGAGTCCCCGGTAAACCCGGACAGGGGAGTCTTTAAGGGCTCAAGCCGTGTTCGACACAACTTGAGCTTCTCAAATGCATCCAGGTACAACACGTTAACACTACTGCCCGTGTCAACGAGCACCCGGGAGACATCAACTCCACCCATGTCCATAGTTATCACCAAGGGGTCATTGTGATCCTCTCCGGTGGCGGGGAGGTCCCGGTCAATAAAAGTGATCGGTTCCCGTCTTGCTTGTTTCGACCGGGGATTTAGGGCCACAGTTCCAACATAGAGCTCTCGCCCCCATTTCTTTCTTTGGGAAGCAGAATCTCCCCCTTCCGGCCCGCCGTAAATGACTTGCAGATGCTCCTTGCCGGCTGCTTTCTTCTTCTTATTCTGTTCGGCCGGCTGTCTTTCAGACCTAACCCATTGGTTTTTCTTTTGTTTGGCCTGGGCCAAATATTCCGGATCGATCTCCCCGGCCTCAATCATCTGCTTAATTACTCCCTTCACACTGTTGCACTCCGCAGTGTTATGGGAGTCAGTTTTGTGGAAGGAGCAATACTTCTCCGTCCATTGTTTTTAGCCGGTCGGTTTCTTCTCTGATTTGACCGGCTTTACCTCCATGACTTCAGCCTTTGCCCTACCGGGCAGCTCAATTTCCTTTTTCAAAGAAATTTTTCCTTTGGAATGGCCCTGCTCGGCCTCCCTTTTGGACGACACCTGTGCTTCGGCGTCAGCATAATCCCAGGCTGTGTTGTAGGCCTCTTGATATGATTGGGGAGGCCTTCTGCAGAACTCTTTGTACAGTTCTCCGGACCGGAGCCCGGACACTAGGAGGGACATGGCTGTTTTATCGTCCATCTCCTCCACCTTGTCAACTTCATCCTTCCACCGGGTGAGAAATTTGGTCAAATCCTCGTGCTCTCGCTGCCCGGCTGTACTTAAATAGGTAAATTTTTTTTCTCTTTGTGCAGTTTTCTTTGAACTTTTCCTGAAACACCTCAGCCAGTTCATCGAAAGAGTCGATCTCACCGGCCGGTAAGTTATGGAACCAGTAAGCGGCGCGGCCGCGGAGGGTTTGAAAGAAAAGCAAACACTTCTCATCCCCGGAAAGACCCATCATCCGTCCGCTTTGATGGAGGGTTTTGACGTGAATTTCCGGGTCATCCTTCCCGGTGAACTTTGGGACCTCCAACTTTGCTTTCTTTGGAAATGGGGTCTCGTGAACCCGGTCTGTGAACGGAAATTCGTTCAACAGGATTTTCTTCTTTTCATCCCGGTCCACCCGGCGCTGTAGCTTTTCCAAACGTGCTTCGACCCGGCCCACGCGATCCCGGGGTTGTTCAACATGGGAGCGGAACGTGTGCCTAGGATGGCTCTCCGCTTCTTCTTCATGGGGCGCCCGGCTATGTTGGGGCTCTTTGCGATGGAGAGGTTTCGTGCGCCTGGTCTGACCAGGTCGCTCGGCCCCTCTACCCAGGCGATCAAAAGCACTCAACGGGGTTGTTTCCACCCCCAGTCGTTCTTTGGCAGGCCGGTTTTGATTTCGGCCTTCATGGCCAAGCCTTTGAAACGCTGACCTCCTGGACCCTTCAGGTTGAATAGCTTTTCCCTTCAGCTTCTTTTGTGCCTGGGGTACATCCCAATCCTCATCCCTGCTATGGACTGACCGCACATCGCCATCAGGCGTGATCTGCGTGCGTGACCTTCGGGACCGACTCCTTCTGGACCGGGACGGACCAGCTTTGTCCATCTCTCCGATCAGGTTTGTTGGAGCGACCGGGCGGATGATATTAGTTTGGGGCAAGGATTGTGGGTATAACCCGGGAATGAAAGGTGAAAATCCTCCCGGCTGTTGAAACATGGACATGAACTGCCCAAAATTTTGGAATGCCTGTGAAAACAGCGGGTCCACGGGCCCGAGAAAATTTTGAGAAAAAATAGGGATAGAGGTGACGGGGGAAGTGAATGGAGTAGGTGTTGGAATGGTGATGATGGGGGTAGGAATCTGGTTTGAGGGTTGTGCACTCCCTCCTAGGAACGAGGCGACGTTCTCAACGGGAGTAGAGATTTGTGAGATGACGGTTTCCTGATTGCTTGTCATGACTTTTTGTAATAGGTCCCACAGGCGGCGCCAATTTGATGGTGTAAATTACCACGCAAATGCTAAGTATAAGTAATCGGGAGGGTTGTAGGTGGAAACACCTGTAACCCGGCTTGTTATTAAAGAAAGTAGGAACTTATTACAATCAGTACAGACCGTGTGGATTAATTAAAGCATGCCTCACAAATGAGGCTTTTAGGGGTATTTATAATAATCCTAAGCACGTCAAGCACGTCTCTGGTTATCCAACCGGTCATTCGTCTGACCGGCTGCATAAGAGTACTTGAGAAGAGAATCTATCTGCAGTTGTGACGTTCAATCTCCCCACCCAACCGGCTTCACGACCCGGTCTGGAAGGATGCGCTCTGTCACTTCCGTCACCACCCAGTCGGACAAACCAACCGGGTGGTATCCATGGGTTATTACCCATCAATAATGAAAAATGCACAACTAAAAAAAGCGATTGAAATGCCAGAATAATAACTAAGATAAGATTATTGGAACGGATGGACCATATCTTTAGTTTACACGAAACATTGATTCTCATTTCTTATGAGATTCCTCTAACCCACCCGTCTTTTGACACCGAATTTTGATATCATAACACAGAGTATTGCACCATAAAACTTGAAGTAACTGAGACTGGGTATCATGATTCGTAATATAACATTGAAGACTTGTGTTAAATTGAAAAAAATTTCTCCTAAAACATTATAATCTCAAGTGGCTGATTGAAAATGAAAAGGTATAGACAAGTACTTATGAAAATTATAATCATCCGGTAGTCTCAAATGGTCACTAGTTTGAATGGAGGACTTAGACTAGTCCTGAACTATTAAAAGACATGCTAATAACTTGAACCGGTTTGAGATTTGTAAAAAATATCATAAAGTGATAGAGAGTATTAAACTACTTCTTATGCAAGTAAACTACTATTTGATGTTTGAGACAAAATTGTTAGTTATTTGGGTTAGTCACTCAGGGGGAGAGCTAAAGCTAGTATTTATTTTGTTTATTCTTTGTTGCCCTTATCCTTGTGACAAAAACAAATAAGTAGGAATGGTTGTATTTTGTACGTAACAGCTCTTTGGATGTAGAGTCCTGCCATATCATGCATGTGTTTTCTTATACGAGCTGGAGAAGATCTCCTGGAGCGGGATTCCTACGAAGCTGAAATAGAGACCCACGCAGTCCAGGAATGTCAGTTGCCGAAGAGTTCAAGTGTGGTTATAACTAGGGTTCTCATATGTTCATATATATATATATATATATATATATATATATATATATATATATATATATATATATATGATCTCACGTTGGTGAATGTGTGAGAGAGAGAGATCACAGATTCCAGAAATACATTGAGAGAGCCAAAAACCCGAGCAGCAAAAAGGAGATCAGAAGGGAACCATGCTTGGGTCCTTCTGATATACGGTGCTGTGGTGAGCACAAGGAGTTTGTGGCCTGTTCACAGATCATATTGCAGATCTATGGTTGGTTTTGATGAAAACCACATCCAGCTGGTGAACTAAAAAGGGCTGGAGAAAGGGGTGTCAGCACGTCCAATAACAGAAGTTATCAAGGTTGGTGTAATATGCCATTGGGAGAAACACTAACAGAGCTATGTGTTTAAGTCATCTGTAGTAGATTAGTTCAATCCACTAACTAGTACCTACGGTGGTTGAAGTTGTAATCTTTGCAGTGATTTAGTGGACGGGCTATTACACGGACGTGGGCCCCGCAGAGTAGGAGAATTGCTCAGAACTGCGTAAACAATTCTTGTGTCTGCTTTACTGTTTTTATTTCTCTTGCTGCATGTGACTGTTTTTGACAGAGGGAGTGTTTCAGCACTTTGCTTATCACAACGATCTAAGTGTGTGTGTGGTTGACTAGAATTGTTCGCAAATAGTACTTCTTCCTTACATGCATATATTTGTAATAAATAACTCAATAGTGTTAAATGTGTTTTCTCTTTCCCTAAAAGATTAATACTTTACACTTCACTATTAAAAAACCATGAGTTTTTTATTTACTTGTCTATTTCCATTGATTATTTAATAAAATAAAATAATTATCACTCTTGTTTTGTAGAACTTTTGATATAATTAAAAAATACTATGTATTTTTATTTTTGTACCAAAATTTAAATAAAATAAATTGAGAAAACTTAAAATTTTATTACTTGTTGCATAAAGTATCAATCTTTTTAAGGATGAATGAAATATTTAAATTTAATTTTAGAAAATTCAACAAATGTATTAGAACTTATAAATAATCTCTATAAATACAACTATTCGTATAATATATAGAGTACTAATAGGCTACAAGTCCACCACAAGTGAATTTTGTTCACTTTAGATCCACTTTCAAGAAAAATCTTTGAATTTGACCAAAGCAAACTACTTGTACATTGGAAGTTGTGACTAAACCGGATCGGATTAGATTACGAATCGGACTAGATTGGACCTATGGCCTATTTGGTCTCTCTCTTTTTGTTGCGATGACAAACTAGTTAGAATCGATAATAAAAAAGACTAGTTCAATCTAATTCTCCACACATCCTTTTAAAGATCGGTTTGGTCGGGGAACATCGGTCCTTTTACTCTTCTCTCCAGACTCTCCAGCATTTCACCCAAAACTTTTTAATAAGTGTTGTCAAGTTAGTTTGATTTCTGACAACTATATTAAGTACAAAGTTTTTGCAATGTACAAATCTCTATTCTTTACAATAAATATATAATGAGGGTTTAATTTACATGTTCTCAATTACCACGTAACCGGGTTTGAGGGGGCCGTAGTCTTTGACGATAGCTTGTACTAAAGTGTCTCTCTCTCTCTCTCTCTCTCTCTCTCTCTCTCTCTCAACATTCTGAAAGTTGAAACAGAAGACAAAAAGAGAACAAGCCCAGCTCACCACTCCATTCCCGCCGCAGAAAATATCGCCGCCGGCCGTCCCCTGTCGCCGGAGATTTTCTGCTCGATTCCAACCACTCACTCACTCTCTAAATTGGTGCGCAAATGGATGCCTCTCTCACTTCACTCCCACACCCCTACTCTCTCTCTCTCTCTATGTATATTTGGAGCTATCAATGTTTATTCTCCATTAATGTACTGTTTTTTTGTTTAAATTAAGGAAACTTCTTATAGAAGAATTGATAGTTAAAGTTTGTTGCCTCTTTTGGTAATCAATCTTTTGCTTTGGATTCTGCCTCCAGTTACTTTTTCTTAATTTTTTTTTTCCCTTTAGATTTTATCAGATACGCAGTATTTTTAATCTGACAACGTTGCTTCCTGAGATGTTTCTTGGCTTAATTTATCAAAATCTTGCAAAGGGTTTTGGATTCTGAGATTTCCATTTCCGTTCCCATTGCTAAATTGAATGTTTTTCTCTCTGTTAGTTAATTGTTACCAAATTTGCTAACCCTTTTTTTTTTGCCCATTTCCACTCAAAATGATTACAGCCTTGTGGCATACATTTCCACCCAAAACACTTAGATGATTGGCTGCAAAGTTCTGTTGACTTACAAGAGGAAGAGGCAGAAGGTTTTGGGTGGAGAAGGGATTGCTGATTCATCTACCAGATTCCCAGAATCTCCCCCCCTTTCTTCACCGGAAAATCAAGAAACAACCGACGAATGCCACGTGCCCGGTGACGAGCAAAAAGAATCCGGGGTGAGATATTAGCATTATCGTTTTCGTTCCCGGTAGAATCATGTTGGGGAAATGATTGCATTGTTATATCTTATGTGACATGTATAAGGGGAAAAAGAGTACAAATTGATTATATAAAAGTTTAAAAGTTACCTAGAGCATATTAAGCTCGAATGGGTGTATAAGTCTTTGAGCCATCTTTGTTCTTTTTTCTTCACAGGGTTGTCTCCAAGAAAGCTGCTCCCTTCAAATATATGATCAAGGAGGGTCTAAGGAAAGGAGGTTTGACTCCCCTTTGCTTACATTTCATCGAAGAGCCAAACGGAACAAGCATGTAAATGAATCGGAAGCAACGTCTGGCAACAATGGCGTTGAAGATGCTTTGACAGTTCTAAAGCATGAAGAAGAGGTGAATACTATTGACGGGTGTTTTTCTAATGCATATATGTATATATGAACAAGTCCGGACGTGTTTCTTTGACCTAAGAGAACTTTAATTGGTGAATTTGTGAAAATAGTTGCTTGGCTAACATTATTGAAGTGCTTTAAAAATTACATTGCTTATTGTTTTTTTTATCAACTCTGCTTCTTAAAGTCAATTTTTGGTTTGAACATTATAGTTTACTTCTTTTTCTGATGATTCTATGTTTTCCCATGTTAGTACTAAGTAGATATTTCTTTTAAAAAACATTTTGTTGCAGACTACGAGTAATGATGGTGATCATTCGTGCGTTTCTGAAGGATCAGACCCTCAGATGAAAACGTAAGTTCACATGAAATGCCATTAACGTGATGTTTTCTGGATGTGTACTTTTTTTTTTGAATTCTAATATTCTACTTTGAATGTTTGTTACAGACATCATGAAGTTAACAAACAGCATGATACAGCTGATGATACTTCACCACTTAATGAAGTTACTGGTTTGGATAAAAGCGCTGACGTAGATGTTCCAAAACACAACTCAGTCAATTCAATGATGCCCAAGCAGCTTATTATAGATCTGAATATCTCAGAATTTCCCGATGAGAGTGCGAATAACAAAGACTCACTAACTTTGAACCTATCCGTGCAATCGTATGGCATGTATTGTTCCACAAAGTTTCAACTTTATTAGTCTTCGAAGGGATTTTTACTAATATGATATAGTTGAATCTTTATCTTATCAGAATCTGCTGATATAGTGGGCTGTGATAAGAATTTGGCATGCGATTCGGTGGGTGACATACCCATTTGTAGTACACCAGAAACAGAAGCGAATTGTTGCAAGGGCTCTGTGTTGAAGAATTGCCCATTGCAGGTGTGAGAATTTATTTACCTAACTAATAGCTGAATTGGTTGGTAATGAAGACACTGAAGTTGTTCGAAATGATCAATTGCATGTGTTTTTAATTTTTTTGGTACCAAAATTTAGAAATTTCTCCATTTTTATGAATAAAAGACTAACGGCTACTTCACTATAGTGGGTCTTTGGCTCAGTCGGAGGTGATGGTAAATAAAGATGCTACTTTTAATGCCTTTAACTAAATTTAGCAGATCAAGCCATTTCATCGAAATGTTTCCAACCAAAATATACCCCTAATCTTGGTGGAAGAGCAATTTTTCCTTATGTTGCCCACAAAAATTATCAGCTTGTTTTTGACAATGACAAAGGTTATTACTTTGCTTTCAGATCTCCTCAGAGGACATGACCTATGATTTCTTTCCCCTATCAAGCTCGCCGAAAAAGACTATCAGAAAGGCCGAGGATTCTAATGGCATAGACTCTCACTCACAACAACAAAGCAGGTCACCCCCACGAAATGTGGGGTCTAGCCCCTCACTTTTTCTGGGTCCTATAGAGCCACCAATGGTTGATAGACCTGCACCCAAACCTGCTTATCTTTTGAACTCATCCCAGCCGTTGAGAGAGTTTAGGGTAAGTGCGGCCCCTCCCCACCCACCCTCAGACCATGCCGCTTTACTGTTCCGGCACCAGATGATACTTGACAACATAGTCAGCAGCAGAGCAACATCGAGGAAAGGAAACAGGAACAGAGTTCCAACAATGTGGTCTGAGGAGGAGCTGGATTCTCTTTGGGTTGGGGTGAGAAGACATGGGAGAGGCAAATGGGATGCCATGCTGAGGGACCCACGGCTCAGGTTCTCTTCTTGGAGGTCCCCAAGAGACCTATCTGAGCGATGGCAAGAGGAACAATGGAAACTCGTGCGTGGGGGGCCCACTTCCCAAGCAAGACATCCTAGGAAACCAGCCTTGTACCATCCAAATGATTTTCATCTTTCACTCAGTACAAACATTGGAACCACCTCATGTCCCAAGCACCACATGTTTGACCATTCTGATGTGGCAGTGAGCGGCAGTTTGCCTCTCTGGATTAAGGAAGCGGTGTCCACACCTATTAGGCCTCTGCAAGGACTAAAACGCCCTTTTGATTTTCCCACCGATCAAAAGGACGAGTTTGTCATCATCCATGGCGACCGTGACTCTTCAGAGGGAACAGTATCTGAGGATCCTCATAAATAACATCCAGTATTGCTGTAATTAGCAGCCGTTGTAAAGCCTTAAATATTCCAAATGTGGAAGGTGTAAAAAGGTAATTACTTGCGTTCATCATACATTTTTCAATGTATTATTTGTTTAATTAAATATCAATTCCCCGACCCACTAAATGTACTCCGTAATTGTTACTCTGCAGTTAAGCCCCCTCCATGAAGAAATGGCGACTCTTCAAAAACGTCTGTTTACCATGTTTGTAAGCTTTCATTGTAGCCTTCGCTTCATTGTTGTTAAAATATGAACGGTTAGGAACCTGCTATTTATCTTTTTACCGATTTCTTTTTCACCCATTGTGTTAGCTGGTCTTTCTGGAAGGAAGTTAATTAATGTAGGTGAATAAAGGTAACTAAAGGTAGTTAGTTTGAGCTATTAGATCTGAGGTAAACAATATTAGGCTGTAACAAAATTTAGCATTATGGTGTAATTTTTTTTTCTTTCCTTGTTAATTTTCTTTTTCCAGAGGTTAAAGAATGTACCTTTTTTGTCATACTTAACAGCATGTTTAAATAGTGTTAATATAGTCTTTTAGGTAAAATTTTACTTGCCTCCGATGATTAATGGACAGATTAATGTTGGGATCAATGTTAATTGTGCAAAGTATATCAATCTTATTTATTATATCATCATCTTCAACACCACTTTAATTATGGCCGGTGGTGTCAAATTTATTGGTGTCAATGAACTATTGTCCAGTGATACTACACACCATACTGAGGGTGCTTGGTAAGCTTAAGGGTGTGTTTGGTTTTAAGGCTATGAAAATCTGAATGGATGTGCTTGGATGGCTTCCATTCTAATTCTCTTCTCTTTTTTTTGTGACCTCCAACCAAACACATCCTAGAAGACAGCTACTTTTCAGTGAAGTTGAGTTTCTGCTGAGTCTTGAGCTTGAGCTCATGCATGAATGCCTCCAAATGCTTCTCTGAAGACCCATTTGCACACACAGCCCTCTGCAGTTTCTCCTGTGTTGTTTTCATCTTCTCTCCCAATCCTTCCCTTGTCTCCCCCCTGCTCATGAGGCGGTTCGTTTTCTCTCGAACCTCTTCCCTCTCCACCGTTCCTCCATCACAAAGGTTGATCCCGACTTTCCAATCCTCGACCACGAGTCTCCTGCTCGTGGGTTGATCCGAACACAGAGGAAAACACAGCATTGGGACCCGGCACCACACGCTCTCCAAGACCGAGTTCCACCCGCAGTGCGTCAAGAATCCCCCGGTCGCCCGGTGGGACAGTACTTCGGTTTGGTCGCACCACGGCACAACTAGCCCTCTTCCTTCGATCTCGCCGCCGAATCCCGCGGGGAAAAGATCGGGTTCGTCCGCAGATGAACCCGTGATGTCCCTGCGCATCGCCCAGAGAAAACTCACCCCGCTTAGGGCTAGCCCGCGGGCGATCTCGTGAATCACGTGTTTGTCAACATTTATAAGACTCCCAAAGGAGACGTAGAGGACCGAGTTTTCCGGCCTGGCGTCGAGCCAGGGGCGGCAATCGGGCGACTCCGACCGAAAGCTAGTCGGAACAGTGGCGGCAGCCTCGGGTAAGCCGAATCGGGAAACCGGGCCGACCGCGTAGAAAGGCCTATCTTGTTGCAGTGCAGTGATTGTGGAGGACTCAAGCTCAAACGCAGTGTTGGAGACGATGATGTCGGCTTTGACAGCATCTTCCAGTGATTTCAATACGTATGTGTCAACCGTATTCCATGGCCCCTCAGGGTTTTGAAGGGGAGAAGGCAAATCTCTGGGTTTGATTACACCAAAGTGACGATGAGCGGTTAAAAGGTCCTCCTTGTGTAGGTACATGGCGAAAACCAGAGCCGATTGGGTCCAAAAGGACACGTTAAGGAGGCCGTGTTTTTCGGCCACCATCGACGGCCACACGAAGAAAGAGTCAGTCAAGAGGCACGACACCGGTGGGTCCACGTCGGAACGCCGCCGGAGGCGGTCGATGAAGTCGTCGACGTGGGCGGAGAAGACGTGGAACAACCCGTGGATGAACTGCTCTTGGTTTGTCGACGGGTCGAACCCCAAGGGGAACCCGTCCCCGATGAGGGCGTAACGGATGTCCAGCCCGGAGCGGCTCCGGGCATCGGAGAAAATGTCCGGCGCGGATTCTCCGGCGGCGGCGGCGGAGCGGATTAGGTTGGCGTGGGTGGCGTGGGTGTTGAGGAAGGTGACGGTGAAGCCGTGGGAAGCGAGTTTGAGTGCTAGGTGGACGAAAGGGGTCAGATGGCCTTGAAATGGGGTTGGAACCATCACCACATGAACGGCGCCGCCGCTGCTGCTCTGCTTCATCTTCTTCAATTCTCTTTGTCTCCGGCCGTTTTTTCAAGCTCTGCAATTCTCTCTTGCCTTTATTTAGTTCTGAATTAGTGAATTATATACACCACAGAGTACTACTTTTCCTATGGTAAATAAGACTTTTACACGATGCTTTGTTTGGATTAATTAAGGATAAATTTTACTTTGTATGATATATCATTTTGATAACTAAATTTAATTTTTTTATTGCAAAAATGTCTAAACTTTGAAGAAATTTCACAAAAGGATTTCACCATTTTTGCTCCACTTTCACCATTTTTGGAGAAGAAAGAGAATATAAGAAAAAAGAAAAAAAGGTTAGGTCGAAATTTAAAATTAAAAATATACACCCTTCCTCCAAAATAGATGTTCATGTTTCATTTTTTGCACATCTCATAAACACTTCTATCCTGTCTCAAATGTCAAAATTTTTTTAGAACCAACTTCTACCTACAATAAAGAAGAAATGTATAAAGTTAGGTATTTTAGATGCGGGTAGAAGTGTTTTTAAGGATGCGCAAATAATGAAACAATAACATCTTTTTGGAACAGAGAGAGTATATACTTGCAAATAGGCTCAAAGTGACCTGACAGTAATATGGAAATAGGGGTTTTTTTTGCTTTTGTGAATTTTTTTAATTCAGATATTTTGTAAGAGAAAATAAAGTTTAAGTACCAAAATGTGTTCGGGTATAATTGTGAAATTTACCCGGTTAATTAACAAAAGGAACAAGAAAGAATGGTTGTTATTTATGTAAAAAAAAAAAAACAAGCTCTCTAGTAAATATGACTCTTGCACGATGTTTTGTTACGATTCATTAACAAGGAAACCAAGAAAATAGTTTTCCTCACCAATTTGTACTGTAAAAAAAAACTGTTTTTTCTTCCACATACCCTTTCCTCTTATTTTCAATCTTTGTTTTCTGTTACCCAGCAAATTCGTTGATTTCACATTCGTTAATGTTTTATAAAAGGATTTCTAAATATAATCTAAATAAAGAAATGCTATAAAAATTTGATGTATTAAAACTAGATCCTAAGATGAATCTAATTATATTAAATTTATATTAAAATTCAAAATACGTTTCTTACCATTTGTAGTCAAAGTATGTAATTTTTTGACCAAATACTATTCAAAATGGTTAATATTTTGTGGGACGGAGGGAGTATTATACTAATGGCCACCTAACATCTACCTCATGTCCAAGAATGGAAGAAGGAAGGGAAAAGGTCGTCGAGACGATGGGAATGTCGTAGATGCCGAGTACCAATCGAAGCGGGAGTGGTGTCAATCGACACCGTAGCCAGCTTGGCTTCTCGCCGCTGCCGAAGCCAAACCCTTAAGCCTTAAGGACTAAATTAGGTGGTTTATATTATTTCTTTTTTTTTTCCAATACAAATTAGACGAATTATAATTAGGTGGTTTCTCTTTAAATTGAGAATAAAATCACGAGAGATAGACGGAGGAGTATATTTAAACTATGTGGTATGGTGATGAAATGCAAAAGTGTATAATGTGTGGTGATGAAAGTTGTGTGATATGGTGGGGTGATTGCGAGTGAAAGTCTTATTTTTGTTTTTTGTTAAGGTTTTCAAATTAAAGTTAAAGTCTAACATTAATTTTTTTTTCTTCAAAATGCTAACAAGGCAATTGAAAACATTATTTCAAACAAGGGCTCATGAATAGGGCAAATAATATGAGATATATGGATGTACCTTATTCTTGGTACATCACGAAAAAATTGTAATTTAAAAAAATGTTTAAAATGAACAATACGTTGTTTTAAAATGAAAATCACATCGTTTCAAAATGAATATTATGTTGTGCAAGCTTCTAAATGAACTTCAAAATGAACATTTTATCGTTCATAATAAATAGAGTAATGTTATCTTGATGACCCCAAAAATGTAAACATCACTCTTACAAACCTGGTAAAAGTATTTACCTTTTTTGTCCTACTTCCTTCCAAACAGTGTGTTAAAGTAGTGGCAATCAAGTTTATATTGTGTTGTGTTCAATGTTAATTGTGCAAAGTATATATAGGGCATGAAGTAGAATCAATCTCATTTATTATATCATCATCATCTTCAACCCTACTTTAATTATGGTAAGTAGTGTGAAATTTATTAGTGTCAATGATTTATTGCCCAATTATACTATACACCGTACCATACTGAGGGTGCTTGGTAAATTTAAGGGTGTGTTTGGTTTTCAGGCTATGAGAATCAGAATGGATGTGCTTGAATGGCTTCCATTCTAATCCTCTCTCTTACTCCAACCAAACACATCCTAGATAACAGCTACTCTTCAAGAAAGTTGTGTTTCTGCTGAGTCTTGAGCTTGACCTCATGCATGAATGTCTCCAAATGCTTCTGTGAAGACCCATTTGCAGACACAGCTCTCTGCAGTATCTCCTTTGTTCTTCTCATCTTCTCTCCCAATCCCTCCTCCCGACTCATGAGTCGATTCGTTTTCTCTCGAACCTCTTCCCTCCCGACCGCCTTTCCTCCACAAAGATCGATCCCGACTTTCCAAACTTCGACCACAAGTTTCCTGTTTATGAACTGATCCATAAACAGAGGGAAACACAGCATTGGGACCCGGCACCACACGCTCTCCAAGACCGAGTTCCACCCGCAGTGCGTCAAGAACCCCCCGGTCGCCCGGTGGGACAGCACTTCGGTTTGGTTGCACCACGGGACAACCAGTCCTCTTCCGTGGGTCTCGCGGTCGAATCCCGCGGGGAACAGATCGGGCTCGTCCGCGGACGAGCCCGTGATGTCCCCGCGGATCGCCCACAGGAAACTCGCCCCGCTCAGCGCGAGCCCGCGGGCGATCTCGCGAATTACACGCTTGTCCACACTTGCCACACTCCCGAAGGAGACGTAGAGGACCGAGTTCTCGGGCCGGGCGTCGAGCCACGGGCGGCAAGCGGCCGACTCCGGCCGAAAGCTAGTCGGAACAGTGGCGGCAGCCTCGGGTAAGCTCAATCGGGAAACCGGGCCGACCGCGTAGAATGGCTTGTGTTGTTGCAGTGCAGTGATTGTGGAGGGCTCAAGCTCAAATGCAGTGTTGGAGATGATAATGTCAGCTTTGACAGCATCTTCCAGTGATTTCAATGCGAAAGTGTCAATCATATTCCATGGCTCCTCACAGTTTTGAAGGGGAGAAGGCAAATCTCTGGGTTTGATTGCTACTTCCACACCAGGTATGTAGTCTATTCCATCCTCCTCTCCATCATCTAGCAATGACCAAATTTTACCCAATTATATCGTCTTTAAAAAAGATTGATACTGCTTTTTTTTCAAACTTTGACACTTTTTGACTACGAATTAATAATAGTTTAAAAAAGTTATAAAAATTTGATATTTCAACATTATATTTTAAAAATAAATCCAATTTTTGTCAAAGGCTACCACAGTTTGAGCAAAAAAGTTAAACTGTGCTAATCCTTTAAAGATAAAGGGAGTATATAACTCTGAGTATAATTACCGTATATGATTTAAAAAGTGATTGTTTAAAACTTTTTGGCGGAGAAATAGTCACATAGTATCAATTTCAACCTTAGAGGCGCAATAGCTTTTTCCACACAAATGATAGGGGTACTCCTAGGGATGTAAACAAATCAAATATTTTAAATTCGATTCGCGATTCGTATTCGAATATGATGATTCGAATTCACGTTATTCAAATACAAATTCAAATTCAAATATTATTTTTGATTCGAATATTAATCAAATACAAATACAAATAGGAATATATTCGATTCGGATGATATTCGAATATTCAAATATATGTATATATACACAGACCATGTTTTCAACATCAAAAGTCAAGCAAAGTAATATAGTATAAAGTGTATTTAAAATANATAAAATATAATTTGTGTAAGATGCAGATGTATTAATGTTTTTATATACGGAATATAGTATAGTATAAAGAGTATCGTAAGTTAAATTACAAATTGATGTTGGTCCATCATATAAATTACATAGTATGATTATTCAAATATTCGTTTATGATTCGATAACTATTCGAATATTAATCAAATACTTATTCAAATCTTATTTTGAATTCGTCTCATATTCGGGTTCGGATTCGTATTCGAAAAAATTAAACAAATACAAATTCAAATATATCGGTATTCGCTTCGATTCGGTTCGTTTACACCCCTAGGTACACCAAGAGTGTACCCGATTTGTACACCACCACTATCCTTATCACACATTTCTTGATGTGAATAAGAAGAGTTGAGAGTGGATAAAAAATGCTAGGGGTATACTTACCAAAAGTGTACCCATTTGTACACCACCATTCTTCCCACTAGGGGTGAGCATGTACCATACCGTTACCGAAAATTCCCGAAAATTCCCGAATTACCCGTACCAAATTTTACCGAACCGAAAAATCCCGAAAAAATCCCGAACCATACCGAACCGATTTTTCGGGTTGGTATTTGGGAATGGGAATAGGCTCTGTCCCGAACCGAAATTCCCGTACCGACTACTGTAGCAAATATATATTAATATATATTGAAGTCCAGTCCACTGGTCCAGCCAAATTTGGGAATGGCCTAATTTTTTAAATATTATATATATTTATATATTGAAGTCCAAAGCCCAAAACTCCCTAGCCCAGTACTCCAGTAGCCCTCCTATTTGCTAACTACGGAATACTTCCGTGCCCATTGCCCAAGTCTCAGTCTCAAACCCAAGCAGGCAAGCAGTAGCACGAACTCACACGATCCTGGATCAACTTAGCATCTGTTTCATATTTTTTGTCCAGGCTTTTAGAAAGCTACATGTACCTTAATTTTAGATTTTCTTAGATTTTTTCCCATTGGTGTTTTACTATCTTTTATTCCATTAACTTTATCTGTATTAAATCCATTATCTAATACGGAGTATGTAATTGTATTATACATTGGTTATTCTAAGTATAAATTTATTATAAATATAAGTAACCAGTCTAACCACTAAAAAATTCAACATAAAATATTACAAAGTACGTATTTATTAAAATTAGAGAATATTATATAATGTTAACACACACAAATTACATAAAAGGAACTAAGAAATTTTCATGAAAATTGATTAAGTAAACACACAAAATATACATCCTATGTCCCAGCGTATTCGTCCAGTTTGACTTTTTGAATAAAATTTATACGTACTAACTTAAATTATCAACTACTCTTAGTTTGTACAATGAAATCAAAATTTAAAAGTTTTCAACAAGATAAATCTAGAAAATCATACATTACTATTTCGATGTACACCAAGGTTCCCATTACATTGGGTTCTAATGTCATGGGATGACCCGGGGGTGCTCCGGTGCAAGGCTCGAAAAAGAATACGCCTGTACTTGAGGGAGCGTGTTAGAATATACATAACTGTTTCTGGGCCACAACCAAATGTTTGAGCTTTTGGTTGAGTTAGTCCCTTGACAGTTAGTTTAGAATTTGAAAGACTTTTCTCATTCTCAGTCTACATCAATGGTAGAGTCCGGAGATGGAAAGTGTTAAGACTCTCATTGGGAATGCCCTAAATTCACATATATGATTATGGTAATTGAATGAATTTATTTCCAATTCTATTTATATAAATAGTTAGGTCCTTTTAATTATCAATGTCATGTTATGGCATGTCAATTTAGGGTACCTACAATGCTCTGTTAGACCCGAAAGTAGTTCCAAACTTCTTCGCCCACACCACATTTTGTTGGTGGGGGGGGGATTTGGGTGTGAGGTAGAGCTTCTTCTACTCAATTTATTTTTATTGCTTATTTTTTGTTCTTATTGGGACGGTTGAAATATTGGAATAAATAATATTGTTCTTTTGAATGATGAATTACATAATAGAGTATATATAGAAGAGACTTCTAACACAATTAGGAATAGATATGGAGACTAACTAAAATACAACATCTAGCACAAATATGATTGAAACACTACTATAACCAATACTACCAGAAGTAATATTAATATTATTGACCAGATCAAATCTGATAAGACCTTAATAACATTAGACCAGATTTAGTCAAATACGGAGTAAGACTTAGAGAACAAGTTCTTAGAGGATTTTGGGAAGGGCTTTAGGAGTATAAAGTAGAAATTATTTTTGGATCCAACGGAGCACGGTAAATGTCTAAAGTTACAGTAATTAATATGAGTGCGGTTTAAAAAATAAGAGTGAAGAACAACATGAAGAGATTCTTAATCAAGAATGAATGCATGAAAAATTTTAGAGTCACAAACAAAATGCGAAATTGCACAAACTCATTATTTGTATATTTAAATATTTGTTGCTTAATTATTTGGGACCATTATTTAGGACTATTATTTACTTATTTGGTAAGTTAATTTGTGCCTTTGCCAGTGCTTTGTTTGTGAAAGCTCCTACAATGACGTACCTTGAGACCTAAAATGACCATGAGCGGTTAAAAGCTCCTTGTGAAAGTACAAGGCGAAAGCCAAAACCGGCTGTCCAAAAAGACACGTTAACCAGGCCGTGTTTTTCGGCCACCGTCGACGGCCACACGAAGAAAGAATCAGCCAAGAGACAGAACACCGGCGGGTTCACGTCGGAACGTCGCCGGAGGCTTCCGATGAAGTCGTCGACGTGGGCTGAGAAGACGTGTAGCAACCCGAGGAGGAACGTGTCGTGGTTTGTAGACCGGTCGAAGCCCAGGGGGAAACCGTCACCGATTAGGGCGTAACGGATGTCCAGCCCGGAGCGACTCCGGGCGTCCGAGAATATGTCCGATGAGGATTCTCCGGCGGCGGCGGCGGCGCGGATTAAGTTGGCGTGGGTGGCGTGGGTGTTGAGGAAGGTGACGGTGAAACCGTGAGAAGCGAGTTTGAGGGCGAGGTGGACGAAAGGGGTCAGGTGGCCTTGAAGTGGTGATGGCACCATCACCACATGAACGGCGGCGCCGCTGCTCTTCTTCATCATCATCTTCTTCTTGTGCTCTGTTTCAAGCTCGGCCTTTATTTAGTTCTTGATGGAGTATTATATACTGCTGGTTTGTTTTATCAAAGTTTTTAAATTTTTACTATAAATTGTGTAAAAAATAAATTAAATTTTGATAAGAATTTAAATTGTGTAAAAAATAAATTAAATTTTGATAAGAATTTAATATGAATAAAGAAATTTCAAAACATATTTTTATTTTCTACTATATATTTATATAAAGAGGGATATTAATAGGCAAAATATTTTTATCCCGCCTAAAATCTTTCTGAATATACCATTTTTCTCCTTTCTTACAGATAAAAATTATTTTAAGGGATTTTAAACATGAGTAATATACTTAAATAGAACTAAAATATAATGACTTTCTCAATATAGGATCATATGTTTTTATTTCTCAATCTAGGACTTTTGGCCATTATGAATTAGTCATTATTCAAGTAAATGTCCATCATTACTAGACATTATTCCTCCCACTAAGACATTAATAAGTCCTATTTAGGGAATAAAAAAGTTTAAGTCCTAGATTAGGAAGTCATTATGTTTTAGTCCTATTTAGTGCAAATTTCACTTTAAACATTTTAGGTGAGATAGAAAGATTTTATGAAAAACTTAAAAAAATAGGATGAAATTAATTTTTGAAACGGAGTAGTAATGTTTTTACATGATGGTTGTTATGCATGTAAAACACAAAGAGTAATGCTAGTGTCACAAGCAAATAATTCACAAAATTAACAAACTTACCTTTTTAACATTTTCCAAAAAATAAGATGCACTCAAATGATAAACGATATTTTAATTTAAAAATCTACAGAAGGCAAATTTGTGAATTTTGCGAATTATTATTTTTTGAGTCTAGCATTACTCAAACACAAACTCTGGTAAATTACACTGTACTATCACACGATGTTTGGTTTCGGTTAAATAAAAGGGAAAATTAGATTTATTTTAAAATATATTTTTTAGATATAAAATTTTTATGATATTTAATTATTTTACACTATATTTTAAATTTAAACCAAAACATACCCTTTTCTCTTAAAAAGAGTGATATGTTTTTATTCTAAATGTGCACCAAATTTTGAATTGTCTTGCCATTGAACCTTTTTTTTTTCTAAATGTGATATGTGATGCAAATATGACATTTTAAGTTGGCAAACCACATTGTTACAGTCTTCTCATTATTAGTCTCTCAATAACTTATTTATTTATATGTTCTAATTAATCATTTGAAAACTAAAATATTTTTATCACCTTTTGTTTTTTGAACTTTTGATGCGATTTTTAAATATATAATTTTTATTTTTATTTCAATATGACAACATCAATTTGTAAATAAATTCATTTTAAAATTTTACTAGATTTTGCAGGTTGATCGAAGGGAGTAATTCATTTTGGGACGAAGAGAATATTATTTCCTCCCACAATAATATTGCACAAGTGACCGAACGGCGGACACATAGATTAAAAAAAATAAAATTATGTGGTTGTAGGGCAGAGGAGAGAGAAATTGTGTTAGCCACAAAAACTTTGCCTATTGTGGAGAGTGAAACCTATTTTTAGGGCGGATTAAAAAGACATTGCGAAACATTATTAGTACAAGATGAATGGAGTAACATGTTTTACATGAGGCATTCCTAATGCATGCATTACCATCTTTGTAATTATAGTTTCGACTGACATGGTATAGTTACAATAACATCGTATAGTGACAATAAATATACCAACGCATATATTTTATTAGTGTAGTCTCATTTATTAATTATTAGTGCCAATGAATGGTTTTCCAACCAAACACATCCTAGATGATAACTCTACTTTTCACTGAAGTTGAGTTTCTGCTAAGCCTTGAGCTTGACCTCATCCATGAATGCTTCCAAATGCTTCATTTCGGATTAAAAGTCATTAGATTTTGCATGTTGATCGAAAAGAATAATTCATTTTGGAACGGAGAAAGTATTATTACCTCTTCCGTTCCACAATAATATTCCACAACTAACTGGATATATACAGAGATTAAGAAAAGTAAAATTGTGTGATTGTAATGCAGAGGAGAGAGAAATTGTGCTAGCTACAAAAAGTTTTCCTATAATGAAAAATGAAACTTATTTTTGGAACCGATAAAAAAAGACATTGTGAAACATTATTACTACAAATGAAAGGAGTAACATGTTTTACATTTCATACCATGTTTGTACTCATGCATAACCATCTTTGTAATTATAGCTTCCGCTGACATCCTATAATGACAATAAATATATCAATGCATATATATTTTACTCCGTATTAGTGTAGTCTCATTTATTAGTGCCAATGAATGATTTTCCAACCAAACACATCCTAGAAGACAGCTAGTTTTCAGTGAAGTTGAGTTTCTGCTGAGCCTTGAGCTTGACCTCATGCATGAATGCCTCCAAATGCTTCTCTGAAGACCCATTTGCACACACAGCTCTCTGCAGTTTCTCCTTTGCTAATCTCACCTTCTCTCCCAATCCTTCCCTTGTCTCCCCCATGCTCATGAGAAGCTTCACTTTCCCCCTAACTTCTTCCCTCTCGACCGCCTTTCCATCGCAAAGGTTGATCCCGACGTTCCAGTCCTCGACCACGAACCTCCGGTTCGCGGGTTGATCCGTAAACAGAGGAAAACACAGCATTGGGACCTCCCACCACACGCTCTCCAGGACCGAGTTCCACCCGCAGTGCGTCAAGAACCCACCGGTCGCCCGGTGGGACAGCACTTCGGTCTGGTTGCACCACGGCACGACGAGCCCCCTTCCTTTGGTCTCGCGGCCGAATCCCGCGGGGAAGAGATCGGGCCCGTCCGCGGACGAGCCCATGATGTCCCCGCGGATCGCCCACAGGAAGCTCGCCCCGCTCAGGGCGAGCCCGCGGGCGATCTCGCGGATCGCGTGCTTGTCCACGCTCGCCAGGCTCCCGAAGGAGACGTAGAGGACCGAGTTCTCCGGCCGGGCGTCGAGCCACGGGCGGCAATCGGTCGACTCCGGCCAGAAACTGGTCGGAACACCGGTCTTCCGAACAACGTCGTCTCGGAAGACCGGGCCGACTGGGTGGAACGGCTTCTTTTGTTGGAGTGCAGTGATTGCGGAGGACTCCAGCTCAAGAACGGTGTTGGAGACGATGATGTCGGCTTTGACGGCGTCTTCGAGGGATTTGAAAACGTATGTGTTCATTAGTGTCCATGGCTGGGAGTCTTGAAGGTGAGAAGGAATGTCTCTGGTTTTGATTGCTTCCACTCCAGGTATGTAATCTATAACTTCATCCTCTCCATCATTGTCTTGCAACCATCAAATTACGTACCAAAGTTAATGCAATCATAAATGATAAGAGACTCTCTTCATCCCCAATTTGATTACAAATTAGGTTTCATGAGTAGAAATATATATATATATATATATATATATATATATATATATATATATATATATCACTCTTTGAAATTATTTTATTTATAAATCAGTATATCAAAACTAATAAAAATTGTATATATTAAAAAACTACCTTAAAATTAAAGTTCTACAAAACAAGAGGTGACAAGAATATTTTATTTTATCAAATATTTAATGAAATTGCGTAAACAAACAAAAGTAATCCGGAAGAAAGATAGAAAAATTGTAATCAGATTGGGGATGGAGGTGGTAAGATGATATCTCTTGATCGATCATATATCTCATTTTGAATTGATATTGCATCTTTTTGGTAAAGGACTTTATTTTGCAACACACCACTGTGATGGGTTCAAGAAGTTTACAAGAGAAAAGAAAAGGAAAGAGCAACGAAAGGAAAATACGAGGGAAAAATGAACAATAAAAAGGAAAAATAGAATTCTTTTAAAACACGTCTTCAAAATATGAAGATAAAAACGACATCATTTTTTGGTGAATTTATATAAAGAGTACTAAAATATATTGATTTTATCAATGTAGAACTATATGTTTTTATTTTTCTCAATATACAACCATTGGTCATTATGTATTAGTCATTATTCAAGTGAATACGGAGTATTATGACTATTATCTATCATTGGATATTATATACTCCCTCTGTTTGGAAAAACTCTTCCCATTTGATTTGGAGGCAAAAATAAAGAAGTGTTAGATTATACTCCCTCCGTCCTAAAAATTTCTTCCCATAGCACTATTCCAACTTCACGGAAATTTATATTTATTTGTGTTTTTTCATGGCCTATATGACAAAATAAAATATTCTTGTCACCACTCGTTTTGTTGAACTTTTTATGTAGTTTTTAAATATACTCCGTATATGTTTTATTTTTTTATTATTATATCAATATTTAAATAAAATAGATTGAAAAAATTTGAGATTTTTCTTCGTTTTACGCAACGGGAAGAAAGATATAGGACGGAGGGAGTAGTTGATTTCCAATTTTGCCCCTGATGTGATGGGTAAAAGTAAGATGTGATAGATAGATTATTAGAGAAAAAGTATGATGTGATAGGTAGGGTATGAAAAAGTAAGGGTAAAAGTGGTTTTTTAATAGAAAGGGGAAGTGTTTTGTTGGAAGTGGAAAAAATGAAACAGGAAATGTTTTTAAGAACGGAGGGAGTAGTTGATTTCCAATTTTGCCCCTGTCTCTAACCCATCCCCCACCCTTGTCAATTGCACCCTTCAAGTTTAGTTGACTTTGAAATAAAAAATAATTGAATTTAAAGTCAACTAAACTTACGGGATGCAATTGACATGAATAGGGAGATGCGTTAGGATGGAGGCTGGGCGGGGGTTTTACCCAAGGGGAGGGGTGTTAAAGGGTAGGAATCATCAATGTTACGAACAGAGCATCGAAGAGTGACAGTGACTTCCGTGGCCACTCAAAACGAGTGGCCATTGAACCTAAGTTAGCCTTTATTTTTATTCTCTAAATAGTAAATATGAGTTTGACAATGTGAATAGTGACACTTTAAATATTACGGAGTATATAACATGGTCAAATAGCACCAGTATCTCCTGTGATTTGTAAAATAGATATCAATGCCCCCTATTTTCAAAACTTATTTCTAAAATTTATGTGATTTCAAAACATTGCACTCATAACTTCTCTAATCATTTTCCAGATATTTTTCAGGCAAAGGAGGGGGCATCGGTACTCATTTTCTAAATCATAGAGGGCACTAGTGTTCATTTTTATTTCTCAGTTATTTTTTGTTTTTCCCATTTTTTCCTTTACATGATTCTTTTATTAACCAAGGTTTTTAAAATTTCTTTTTAAAATTATTCTTAAATGTTCTTAAAATTTTAAATAATACGGAGTATTTGTTTTGAAAAAAATTGGCATATACTGCATCTGTACGTTTCGAATTAGGGGGAAAAACCAAAGCGGGACTAAAACATTGAAAATATACCAAAATATGGCTTCCATGTTTTTATTTCCGAGAAAAAAAACATGAAAGTCATATTTCAGTACTTTTTTCTATGTTTTAGTCATATTTAAGGTGATTTCTATTCAAATTAACAATTTTGTTTTCTGAATAAAAAGAAGTAATTTTTTTTGATAACTTAAAAAATGAGGAATAAAATAAGAAACAAAAAACAATGAATCTCCTTTTTGGACATCCGAATTCTAAGGTCTATTTTAGGCGTTCTTAAAATTGTTTTTTGTATCTCTTTTTTTTTTACATATTTTAATCTTTTCATTTTGTTTTTCCATATTTTTATTTTTTATTCTGGACTTTCTTTTTTAACTTTCTAAAAGAATATTCTAAAAAACAAAAGGTGAAAATCTTTAATTTGAGATAGATGAAGTGTGTTAATTTTTTTAATTTTTACTTCAAACACAAGATTTTGAAGTTTTTAAAACATTATAAAAATCAACCGGAGTTTAGAAGTAAAATCAACCGGAGTTTAGGAATAAAATCAACCGGAGTTCAAAAAATTTTACGCAGAAAAATCTAACTAAAAAATTAATTGATAAATCTGAACGTTAGGCAAAATCTACCAAAATGTATTCTTTCCAAATGATAACTCCGAACGTTAGGCGTTGACGTTTCATAGAAATGAGAAGCAACATATCTAAAAAAAGATTTCATTAAAAAGGAACCAATCTTTTCTTATTTCTTTGCCATCTTATGTTTACCCCATGTTCTAATGCTTGTACTATGTACGTAGTAGCCTATCATGAAAAAAATTTGACATTTACCTAAAATCTTTTTTCTACCATGAGTGCATCCATGCTTCACACAGACGATAATTAATTATCACGGAATTGGCACGGAATATTAGGCATGGAATTGGCACGGAATATTAGGCACGGACGTGCCGTGACTACGCCGAAAAAAGAACGTAGCCACATGGCGTGTTTCTATTTGTGTTTCAATTTGGCTTAGCATTTTTCCGTGCCAAATGTCGTGGCAATAGCGTAAACGTTAAGACGTTAACGGTGTTGTCGGACGTTGTTTATTCTAACCAATAGGCACGGATTTAGTTGTTCTAATTCCCTACCTTTCTCATAAAATTCAAAATCGAAAAGGACAAGATTGTTTTGTCATGGAAATAGCCGTGCCTAATTTCGATCCTAGACAAAAGCCTGACACACTTGCGCAGGCATTTAGTTTGGCACGGAAACCCCCGTGCCTACATACAAGCCCAATAAATTCGTTTTATGACATGCTATTAATGCACCCCTACAAACGAAGAGTTCATTTTGTTTGGCACGGACAGGGCCGTGCCTATGCAATTACCAAAAACTGTCGTATTTAATGCCCTCTATTAGGCACGGAAAAAGCCGTGCCTAGAATGGATCTCACACAAAAAGCCTGACACACGCAGAGATATTGAAATTTGGCACGACAACGGCCGTGCCTACACCATTACCCAAAAATCCGATATTTACTGCACGGTATAGGCACGGTTGGGGACGTGCTTACGTCCGTGCATACGGTTTAATTATATTACCACCCCTTACATGTTTTTTCTCGTTTTTTTCATTAACCACTCTCCTCCTCTTATCTCTTTCTTCGCCGCCATCCCTCCTCCGCCCTCCTCCCTCATAACCCTTTCTCCTTTCAATGTCTTCAGCAATGAGCACTTTCTTCCGCGGTAGCATTCGCGGTAGGGGAAGCTTTCAGCGTTCTCAGTCTCGAGCACCACATGAATCGCCATCTACTACTACCCCGTAGTCCATATTCAATGCCGGTGGCGATTTGGAGGCTAAGGTCGAGGTCTAAGGCGGAGGAGGCGGCGAAGGAGGAGACAGAGTTTCAACGGAGGCTAGTGTGGTGCCGTACAGGGATCTTCCGCGCTTAATCACTAAGGCCAAATTGAAGGGGTAACTTTTTGTTTTTTATTATCTCATACTCCCTCCGTCCCGTGAAACCTTTCCCCTTTCTTTTTTTATCCGTCCCACAAAACACTTCTCATTTCTATTAAAAAGTCACTTTTACCCCTTACTTTTTCATACCCTAACTATCACATCATACCTTTTTACTAAAAATCTATCCATCAAATCATACTTTTACCCATCACATCAAAGGACATTTTTGGAAATTCAATATCAAAATACACTCCCTTAAATTACTCCTAAAAAGCAAATGTCCCATGTTTCACGGGACGGAGGTAGTATATTATTTGTATGATTTTTAATTTTTTTCCAGCCAACAAGCTGTCCTAAACACAATACTAATTTATTTTTATTACATTTATAGCTTCGTTACACATGGTTGCCCGGGGTTTTGCCGGCGGGCACAAACAAAGTCATGAGGAGCACCTTTAATTCCCGCGGGTTTTGCCTTCTCCCATGCCTGTTTTTCAACAACCTACGGTCCTCCCCCAAATGTCAAACGTTCAACCGGAAGGACACAATTCAAATAACTGTGGTGTTAACAGTTTTCTAAACAATGAAAATCTGTAATTATTCATCATTAACATTTGTCTGTGAAGATCTTCGTTTGGATGCTAGACATTACTTTCATTATGGATATTACTTTTATTAATCTACATTATTATGATGTGAGTGATTTATTCCGTATTTAAATTATGGCCTGTTATGTATTATTAATTTTTTATTTTCAAAATTGTTTTTTTAAATTTTTCGAAATCTAAGGCACGAATAAATCCGTGACAAAAAATATTTTTTTTATTTTTTAAAATCCATGGCACGGATATGTCCGTGGCAAAATATTTGAATTTCGGAATTTAATCTCCCCGCGTATTTGAATTTTTTGAAATTTTTTGAATATTTTGAAAATTTTCAAAATAAAGGCACGAATATATCCGTGACTTATGTTATATTTGTAAGAACACAATTTTGACACGGACATATCCGTGCCTAATATCTTTAACATTTTTCTTACAACCGTCAGTTTGGAACGATTTTGTCACGAGTGACGCCATCTCTATATTTGGCACAGACTGGATTTCCGTGTCATACGGTTTGGAGCTTCGAAATTGGCAGCGTTTTGTGTCCGTGCCTAAATCCGTGCTGAATACCTTAGTGACGGGAAACTTAAACTACAGTCCCTGCCAAAAAGCCGTGCCAATTCCGCGTTTTTTTGTAGTGATTGTCTGTACGACACGGACAAGTATCGTCTGTGTTTGTCTCTGTGAAGCATAGGTACACGCATGGTAGCACCAATGTGGTGACACCCTAGCATTCCTTTTTTCTTTCTTTGCCATATAGACTCGGCTCATTGCCTTAACAAAGGAGTCCTAGTTTTCGATCAATCCTATTAAAAAATCACTTTTTACCATTATTTTTTCATACCCTATATGTCACATCATACGTTTTCACTAATAATTAAATTATCACATTTTACTTTTAATAATCACATCAGGAATAACATTAGAAAGTTTACCATAATTACACTTTCCTTATTTTTGTCCAAAGTCAAAATGAAAATGATTTAAAGAAAGGGAAGACTATAATGGAACTTAAAGATGACATACCTTGAGGCCCGAGGTGACCATGAGCGCTCAAAAGCTCCCTGTGAAAGTACATGGTGAAAGCCAAAGCCGATTGGGTCCAAAAAGACACGTTAACCAGGCCGTGTTTTCTGGCCACCGCCGACGGCCACACGAAGAAAGAATCAGCCAAGAGGCACGACACCGGTGGGTTCACCTCCGAGTTCCGCCGGAGGCTTCCGATGAAGTCGTCGACGTGTGCGGAGAAGACGTGGATCAACCCGTGGATGAACATGTCTTCGTTTATCCCATGGTCGGACCCCGGGGGCAAACCGTCGCCGATGATGGCATACCGGATATCCAGCCCGGAGCGGTCCCGGGCGTCGGAGAATATGTCGGATGAATTATTTCCGGCGGCGGAGCCGATTAACTTGGAGTGGGTGGCGTGGGTGTTGAGAAAAGTGACGGTGAAGCCGCGAGAGGCGAGTTTGAGTGCGAGGTGGACGAAAGGGGTGAGGTGGCCTTGAAGTGGGGCGGGAACCATCACCACATGAACGGCGCCGCCGCTGCTCTGCTTCGTCTTCTTCATGTGCTCTGTTTCTGCGTCTATTTCTGTTTTAGTGGTTTCCAGCTCTAGCTGCAATTCTCTCTTGCCTTTATTTGTACTTATAAGCAACATGAAATGGTTGTTATTTATGCCAAACCTTTATCTTTGAGGATATCTTTGATGTTTGATGGTAAGATTTCTCTATAATGAACTTATTGAACTTTGTTACCCAGAGATATTCCTTTTCCTCTCTCCCCTCAATAAAATCAACCATTCATTTTAACTTGAATTAAATTAGGGGTACACCATCATGGGTATCCCAAGTGTACACCAAAGCCAACACAGACACAAAGTGTCTGTGTTGCACAAACATTTTGTGTCTGTGTGTGTCTGTGTTGGCTTGGTGTACACTTGGGTACACCATGTTGGTGTACCCCTAGCATTGCCCTTTTAACTTTACTCCGTATTAATGTATACACATATTCCTTTTCTTTACTCCGTATTAGATATACACATATCTAATACACTTTCAATCTATGAAAAAAGTTAAGAATAAAGTACAAGTAAAATATTGAAAATATATTAAAATGAAGTTTCATGTTTTGTTTTCCTAATAGAAATTAAAATGCATTTACATTACCAATCATGATAATGTATATTTTTAAAAAGTATATTAAATTGCACATGTACATCCACATTGCAATTTCGTACTTAAACTACCCCCGTTATCAAAAACACTTCCACTTTCTATTAAAAAATCACTTTTATCTTCTTTTTCATATCCTACCTATCACATTGTACTTTTTTCTAATAATCTATCTATTACATCTTATTTTTATCTATCACTTCAAGTACAAAATTGGAAGTCAACTACAATTTAACACTTTCTTATTTTGGCATTTGATCAAAATAGGAAGTGTTTTCAAGAACGGAGGGAGTAAATGTTTTCATTCGACATTCATGGTCTACCATTGAATATTTTGGCTTACAATATCTTTATTTATAAATCGATATATATATTACGAAGTATAAAAATACATAGGAAACAAGATTAAACTAGGAATAAAATATTAAAAGTACACCAAAGTAAGAGTTCGAAATATTGGTTAAAGAACCAAATAAAATTTGGAATCAAAAAAATAAAAGGAGTTTTCATGCTCATTGCTCATAATCTTCTTCTTTGCTTCGAAACAAATTCCAACAATACATTTTTCTCTTTTGAACTACTCTTTCCGTCTCCTAGTTTTTGTCCACTTATGACTTTTGGAACTGTTCATCTAAGCACTTTGACTCATCAAATTCTCTCAATGTGTAAGCCTAAATATAGTCATGTGTGATCTTGTTTGATTTGTCTTAACATATATATTATTAATATATAATTTCTATAATTTTTTAATATACAAATTACAAGATAAAATGAATTAAAGAAGTGTATTAGATAGTGTGTAAAAATGAAAGTGGACAAATATTCTGGGACGGAGGGAATATTTTATACTAAAAATGCAGGAGTATCTTGAATTTACAATACTCTCTCTAGATTCTTCGTGATTCTCGTTAAGATATTTTACTAAAAAATTTTTTAATTCATTTTATATAAAAATTTGTATGAAATTTAAAAAAATAAAAGTTATATATTCAAAAACTACATAAAAAATCTACAAAACAAGTGGTGTGAAAACTATTTTATTTTATCAAATAATTTAAAAAAAATAACTAAAAACAGAATAAAATTCGATCCTGCAAATTGTAATTTGGAAGAACTCAGAGGTACCTAAGGAGCATTAAATTATAAATATTCACTAAGCAAAAACTAATTATTTACTAAATAAATGAAACATGTGGCCTACTCTAAACAAGAAATACATTATCATCCACTAACCACTAAGTTTTACGCCACTACATCGACCAAGAGAGTACTCCCATCATTGTGCCACCAATAATTTCTCAAGCAAACTTGGAGACACTAACACTAATAAGATCCACTAGAATGGACTTCATCCTATTTTCTTCAATCTTCTTCTTCCTCTTCTTTTTCTGCAAATATGCAGTCCATGTAATGAGACTAAGATAAATGTCTTTTAAGCTAGAGTTCTAAACACTATGAAGACATAGCCTCTTTGGGCCTGATCTCAATCCCTTGCACAACTAAGCCACTCTTCTGATTACCTCCCCTAACCTCCATAAAACTCATCTCAATAATACATTCTTCTTCTTCTTCACCAGTGACCAAAATGTCCCCCAATTCAACTTCCATCCAATGATCACTCCTCTGCCTCACATATCCAGTATTTGCATTTTCCTCATCTGATGGTGGGCTCGTGTTGTGTCTCATTACGGCAGGTGATAGCCTCACACGCGCACATGGACCTGCCCTGCTTCTTTTGAATCCCAGATAAACAGTTCTTGTTTTAGCCTCCTGTCTGCTAATCCCGACTGAAGCGTCTATGGGTACGTTGTTAAAACCATATGCATTTGATTTCAGTGAGAACACAAGGTAAGCCCCGTAATTGGTGCCCGGTGACAGCATCTTTGGACTTATTTCCCCACGAATTTCAAGCCACCATACATGATCAAGCACCGCAACTTCAGAAAACCTAGTCCGTACCAAGAAAAGAAACAAGGGAATCATTAGGTTTTGTTTGGAACACGGAAATGGTACCTTTGTATTCCATTTGGTACTTTGGTTAAAGCATTGGAATAGACAAAAAAACAAGACTGTTTATAGCTTTTGACTTACTTGTATGTATTATAAAGATACGGAGTAACTTTTATTTTTATTTGTCTCTGTTTTCTTTCACTGGCCTTGTCCGGGTGCCGCGGACCCTAGACACTTCTTCACTCACAAAGCAGAGATGACTGTGTGCACATCCACAGTGGTAGACAGGTCATGGGTGTGCCAACCCTTTCACTCAACCATTTTATCCACCGTTTAGGCCCCACGGTATATATGGTAAGAGGTATGACACTGAGGGACAATGGGGTATCCATCATTTTCGGGCACCCAATATGCTTGCCAGATAGGAGGTGCAGAGCAAATGCATCTAACCCTTGCTTGTTGTGACTTGTGAGTCTTGTGACATGATGATTAGGTCTGATTGATATAACTATATCCACTATTGCACAGCTACACTTAGCATGCAAGTTTGAGCTGTCTGAACTCAGAATGTGGGAAACTAGAGGGAAGACAACCTGCTAGAAAGCAGTTGAAAGGGAAGGTAAAATTGAGGAGTTGATATTCCTCAATTTATTATGTAACAATACATGCAATTGAGGAGTATTAGCCACCGTTAAGTACTTGTACTACTTAATTATTATTATTAGCCTATATATGCGGCACAAACCCATCATACCATAAGAGGAGGTGGGGGGGATCCCCTAGTTTAGGGAGCCAACCTCTAACTATTGTAAAACCTTATTAAGAAATACTCTGTACATACTAAAGATATCCCATTGATTTGTTTATATATAGTACGGTTTACAATGATTGATTGATGTTGTTTTTAAATCGTTTTATTTAATTATTGGTGTAAAATTACAAAATCAAATATAAACATTAAAAAACTACATTAAAAGATCTAATTCGTAGAGAACAAGAAGTGGCATGACTATTTTTTTTATCACATGATAGATGAAAATATAAAAAGAAAGTGAAAATAGTTTGATCATGTGAATAGTAACTCTAAATAATGGTAATCATTGCCTAAAAGATAAAGAATTTTTTTTATTGGTTTATGGGTTACCTTGAATGTGGAAGTGAAATCCATTTCCAGTATCTATCGTCGTCTCCCCAAGCAATTTTGAGCGACCTTGCAGCTAACATGTAACATTTATTCCCACTCTTTTTCTCCAGTGAAAAGCTCTGCTTAATCAAATACAGAGTATAAGATAGACAATTTTCATTTCCAGCAGACTCGACGAATAACAGATTCCACTGCTAAAATGTAAATTTGCAATCAAGCAGTAATAAAGCTATTGATTCTAGACAGTAAAAAACAGAAAAATTTGATCAGTTAATCTCCTTAGAAGTGCCACACAATACTCTAATTTAATCTCCGATAGAAACAGTAAAATCTCGGCATTTGATCGGGAGGAATTCGATTCTAAATCTACAGTATCTCATATCTAACAAGACGGGCAAGGAGAAATACCATGGTGCCGCCGTCAAGAAGGATGGGGTGGTCGGAGAGGTGGAAGTAGAGATCCTTCTTCGAGACGAAATTGTGCAGATCTAGTCCGTTGGCGGCCCGGGAAAGGACGTCGCGGTAATCGGAGGGCAAAAACCGGTCCCAGACGGCGTCGAATTGGGCCGCGGCGTGGAAGGTCGAGGACACCAGCGACAAACGGAAAGCGTCCCGAGGGGTAGTCAGCGACAGAGCGTTGGCTATGCAGTCATCATGAAGCGCGTTGATATCGATTCCGATAACGCTATTCTCAGCCGCCATTGCTGAGACCCACTCAATTCAAGCAAGGTTTTCCTATTGATTCGTAATTAGTACTGTAGTACATGCGCCCGCAAATTCATTCTATTCCGTATGATTGTATGTATAGTTTTTAGAACAGACAAGTAATTGAACCGAGTATTAGAACTTTAGTTAGAATTTCAAAGTGGTACCTCAACTTCAAATCCTTTCACAAAAATCTCTGAACTTACACAATCCTTTCACTAATGAGCCATTAGCCCGTTTCTAGGTTAACTTCCGGTCATTAGGGCCAAATTCGAATTTTATATATTTTAAAATTTTCAATTTGACCCCATTTCTTCTTTTCTTTTCTTCTAGGCCCCGCCGCCGCCCGCCGGTCAAAGTCGCCGGAAAATGAACTTTTTCCGATTCCGGCGGGACCAATGTCATTCTCTTCGTCTTGAGACGAGGATTGTGTAAGTTCAGGGATTTTTGTTAAAGGATTTGAAGTTCAGGTACCACTTCGAAATTCCAGCTAAAGTTCAGGTACCATTGGTGAAATTTACCCAATTGAACCGATCAATTTCACTTGTTGAATCAGTTGTTGAACTGGTCGAACCGGTGGTTTAAACATATTTAAAAATTATATGTGTGCGTGTGTGTTATAGTGGATCATGTAGGATAACACGACAATCCAAGTAATATTGAGGCCCAAAGCTAAAGCCCATACATACCGTGCATCATTTAGGATCCGTTCCGTAGGACATGTTTTTTCTACTTATTACTTATTCTTATTAAAATCAGATCAGATCAGACCAGATCTAATCATATCATATCAGATCCAATTAGATCAGATCAGACTCAATCAGATCAGATCAGATCCAATCAGATCAGATACGATCCAATCAGATCAAACCAAATCCAATCAGATCAGATCAGACCAGATCAAATCCAATAATATCAAATCAAGAAAAAATACAAAAGATAATATTTATATTTTTCAAGGATTAAATAATAATTACTATTATTTGATTAAATCACATTACTATAATTAAAACTACACACACCTAAATCTTAATTAATATTATAATTTTAAATATTATTGTTGTATTATTATTGTTGTTGTTGTTGTTGTTGTTGTTGTTGTTATTATTATTATTATTATTATTATTATAATTATTATAATTGTTTAGCTTGTAGGATAGAAATGATGCATGAAAGCAATGTGAAAGCTTAAAAAGTTTTATTTTTCATACTTTAAAAAGAGTTATTTTAAAATACTTATTTATAAAATAATTATACAAAACTTAGTTTTCAAAACTATAAATGTTTTATACTTAAAAAGACTTACTTTTAAACTTTAAGATGGTATAATATACTCAAGGGTGAGTTTATGACAAAATTGATAGAAGTGAAAATGATATTAGTGTTTAAAATTTTATATGATCTTTAATTTATAACATGAAATATATTATTATGTAATATGTATATAGAATGTGATAATTTTGTAGAATAGCATCAATATTTTCTAATATTTGTTTATTTTAATACTGATTATTTAGTTTTCACAAAAATTAAAAAAGTTGTGATATTGAAAAGATTAATATTTTTGAAAAAAGTTTAAACATATTAATAATTAGTTGATTTTCTTATTTTACTTTTTTATGTATTTATGAATTGTAATACTTTAAAACTATTAAATTTTGTAATAATTTGAAGTTTAATTTAAATCAAATTTAAATTCATTTACACCGGATCTAATTAGAGAAAATCAGATCTAATCAGATCAGATCCAATCAGATCCAATCAGATCAGATCAGACCCAATCAGATCAGATCCAATCAGATCAGATTCAAACAGATCAGATCAGACCCAATCAGATCAGATCAGATCCAATCAGATCAGATTAGATCTAATCAGATTAGATCAGATCCAATCAGATCAGATCAGACTCAATCAGATCAGATCAGATCTAAACTTCAAAAATTCAAATCAGATTCAATCAGATCAGGCGTACGGAACAGAGCCTTAGGCTGTGTTCCGTTCAAATTATTTTTTCTGATATGATTTGATTTTTTGTAGTTTTGATCTGATTTGATCTGGTCTGATCTAATTTGATTGGATCTGATTTGATCCGATCTGATTAATTATGATTTGATTTAAAATTCAAATCAATAATTTGATTTGAGTTTATAATAACGTTTGAAAATTGTAATGATAATTCATACTATAATATAAACAATATTTTTTATTTTATTATTATTTTTTAATAAAATAAAATTAATTAATTTATATATTAGAATAATCAATCATATTTTAATGTAATAATATTTTTTATTTGATGATTATTGTTTAAGAAATAAGAATATGGATTTAATATTTTAATAATTAGTTCATATATACATTAGAATAAATATTTAATTTATATATAATCAATATATAGAAGAGATAATATTTTTATTAAAATATCTCATTCTTATAAAAGATCAAAACTTTAGAAACTCAAATTACAGGTAGCAATAAAAATATAATTTAAAGGTAAAATTAGATTAACATTGTCAATGTATTTTAAAAATAATTTTTTGACGTCTAATAATTAAGGATTAATTTCTATTTTTTTATTTAACTTGTTTCTAAAGTTTAATTTTTTTCATTTTTAAGAATAATAATAATAATAATAATAATAATAATTCTTTATGAGATCTCATCTGATTAGGTCTGGTCTGATTTGATTCGATCTGATCTGATCTGATTGGATCTGATCTGATCTGATTTGTTCTGATCTGATCTGATTTGTTCTGATCTGATCTGATTGGATCTGATTTGATCTGGTCTGATCTGATCTGATTTTAATTAGAATAAGAAAAAATAAGAAAAAAATAAGTTGAACGGAACATGGCCTTAGTCATAATAGAAAATATACTCCATACTTCGCAAGTTTCTTTAGTTCCCAGAACCCTTGTCTCGGTGAAGCTTCCACAGCCGCCAACAAAGTTGTTGCAGCGCTAAGCATAGTTTTAAAAACCGGATCGGGGACCGAACCGGTCAAGGTACTGGCTCACTGGTACACTGGTCGGACCAGTGGTTCAAGTGGTCGAACCAGTGGTTCACGCATATTTAAAAATTCAATATATATATATATATATATATATATATATATATATATATATATATATATATATATATATATATATATATATATATATATAAAATTTACACACATGAAAATTAATATGTATTGAAATAATACTTCCTTTTTCTATAAATAAAGAATTTATGATGTATTCATAAATTTATAAGCAATTTAATTATTTAAGTTAGTAGCATTAAATCTAAACAAAATGGATATTTAAACATTTAAAAAATTATAAAATAAGAGGTGATATGTTTTGTTTTATAATTTACACAATATTTTTAAAATATTTAAATGAGTTAATAATTTTGTGATATGAAGTTCAAATTAGAATCAATTGCATCATTATTTTAGGAAAGTAATATATAACTAGTAATGTATACTTGTATATTTTTAGAAATATAATATATAACTAATAATGCCAATCTATCTATATACAAAGCTAAGAGGGACTTTTGAACAGTGTTCCCGCCTAAATTAAATGGGCCAAGCATGAGAATGCTTTTCAGGGGC